GCCGCGCGCCCCGCCCGCCCGCTGGTCGCGGAGGACTTCTCTGGCTCTCGCTCTCCCCCAGGAAACAGCGACGTCGGGGCGCTAACGCGACGAGCCCGCGCGGAGCCCCGTGGTCGTCGCAAGGCAGCGACGCGTCCGGAAGCAGCCGGTGCGTCCTCCCCGCCGATCGATGGTCGCCGATCGACCCGACCCTCCGCCGCCCGGGGCTTTTTCCGTTGGAGGATTGGACGTTTCTTCTCGGACGAAACCCATTCTTGGAAACCCTGGAATTCCTGCCCCTCCCCCCCCCCCCCCTCCGCGCGACCACAGAGGATGCTCGGACGACTCCAGCGCGTCGAAAGCCACGCGCGCGCCGCGCACGCCCCCGCACGGGCCGACGCAGACGCCGGGCGGCGGCGGCGGCGCGACGCCGTCGTCGCCGCGCGCCCCCCCCCCGACGACGCGCGACCACCACGACGTCGACGATTTATTATTCGTCCCGCCAGACCTGGAAGCCGCGGTCAAGCTGGAAGGGCTCGTGGACCCGGACGATTTAGCGTTCGCAGACGCGTTCATCGACGACGTCGCGGGGGACATCCTCTTCGGCGACGGCGGGATGCTCGGCGACGCGGGGGGCGTCGCGCCGGGCCCGGGCTCGGGCGCGAACGGCAACGGCGGCGATGGCGGCAACGGCGGCAACGGCGGCAACGGCGGCGGCGAGGAGGAGGACGAGGAGAAGAAGCGCGCGCGGCTCGTGCGCAACCGCGAGTCCGCGCAGCTGTCGCGGCAGCGCAAGAAGCAGCACATGGACGAGCTCGATCTCCGATGCCGCGGGCTGCAGGTGGAGTGCGCGGAGCTGCACAAGCTCGCGCACTGCCTCTCCGCGGAGAATCATCGCTTACGCGCGCACTGTAACCTGGTGAGACTGCTTCCCATACGACCCCGTTCGCGTGGTGCACGCCGTTCCTTAAGGACTTTTCCCGTCGTCACTCTTCACCCGCGCTTCCCTTTCAACGTTTGACCGGTAAGACGTTCGACTGACCGATCGCTTCACCCACGCAGGTGGCGACGGGGAAGACGCCGCCGGAGACGCCGCCGCCGCCGCCGCACCCGTACGTCGCCGCGCAGGTTGGGCCGGGTGGGATGACACACATGCCGATAACACCGATGATGTTCCAGCCGAAGATACCGCTGCCGCCGAGGGGTGGGTTCGTCGCGCCCGCGCCCGCGCCCGCGCCCGCGGCGGCGGCGGCGGGGTCCAACGCGGGGTCGACGCCGTCGTCCCCAGCGGGGGCGGCGAACGCCGACCACGAGGCGGAGCTGATGGTCGCCACGAAGAAGCGGAAATCGAACGCGAGCAAGGGCGTCGCCGCGGTCACCGCGGCGGCGCTCGCGGCGTTGTCCGTCGCGTGTCTCTCTCTCGGCAGCAGATCCGGAGCCGGGTCCGGAGGGCAGCTCGCGCTGAGCGGCGTCGCTCTCGGCGGTGCGCGGAGACACCTGCTTGCCGCCGCGACGAGCGGCGTTTTCGGCGGCGACGACGCGGCGGAGGCGGTGCCGGAGCGCGCGCTCGTCGCGGCGAGGGCGGATCTCCTCGACGCGACGACGCGAGCGACGGCGACGGCGACGGCGGCGACGCGTCCGCCGCGTCCGACGATGGAGATGGAAAGACCCGCCGTCATCCCCATGCGCGGGGGCGAACGAGAGGCGATCCCTCTGCGCGGGAAGTCGCGCGAAGTCGCGCTGCCGTACGACGGCGAGTCCTCTATCGAGACCTGGGGCGCGACGGACGACGACGGTTGGATCCCGACGACGCGCGCGTCGAGCGAGGATGCGCGTTTCGACGCCGCCGGGGACGCGACGAAAGACCCGTGGACCGCCGCGTTTCACCGCCTCGGACACAACGCGGAGACGCTGCGCGAGATGACTTGCCGCGAGATGTTTCGATTCAACGCGCTGGATTTGAACGCCGCGGGCGGGGACGTCGCGTTCACGCGACGGCTCAGCGAAGCCGCCGCCGCGGAAGAGGAGGAGGAGGAGGGCGAGAGGGAGGGCGACGTGAAGAAGGCGACGGGCGCGCGAGGCGAGCTCGAGCTGCCGCCCGTCGCGATCCCGCTGCCGCCGCGCGACGCGGGGCCGTCGGAGTCGTCGTCGTCGTCGCTCGTCGGGGGGTCGGACGCGCGCAGGCCGCTGCCGCTGCCGCTGAAGGAAGAGAGAAGAAGGACCATCGGCGACGACGCGCGCTCGGGCGCGGGCGCGGGCGCGGGCGCGGGGGGATTCGGCGTCGGCGACGACGAGTCGTCGCTCGTCAGCGTGCTCCTGCCTCCTCCCGCGGCGTCCGCGTCGCGCGTGGGCGGCGCGATGCCGACGCTGTCGAAGCTGTTCGTCGTCACGCGCAGCCGTCGGACGTCGGAGTACGTCACGTACTCGTGCCGGTTGCCCGTCGTGGACCGCGCGGCGGCGGGCGCGACCGCGGGGTGGAGCTGAGCCGACGAACGTTTCGTGTACTGTAGTACGCGTAGTTTTTTTTGAAACGTGAAAGTACGCGCGCGCGTCGACGACGTCGCATTCATTCTACTCTACCCCTAAGAGCTAACACCTCCGTTCCGTTCGCTACCCACCCGCGGCATACATCGCGTCACGCGTCGCGCTCGTACGACGCCGCCCACATCGCGCGCTCCATCCCGACGAGCGACAGCGCCCCGTCGTCGACACCGCTCCCCCACAGCTCGATCCGCCGCCGAACCATCGCGAGAAAATACGTCTCGTACTCCTTCCTGGTGTACTTGAGCGACGGCGAGACGACCGTCTTCGCGGCCTCGTCGCTGAAGAACGGCACGTAGTCGTAGAACGCGCCGAGGAGCATCGACGCCGTCGCGGGGCCGACCTGGAACAGCGCGTCCGGGGGGGTTCCCTTGGACAACGCGTCCACCGCGCGCAGCAATCCGTCGAGTTGGTCCAAACTGTGCCAAACTTCGTCCTTCAACGCGGCGGCGATCTGGAACGCGGCGTTCGTGATGCGCGCCGCGTCCTTCGCGTTCCTGGACAGCATCGCATCGCCGCCCTGCGGCCGCTTCGCGTTCCCCGCCATCTTGAGCTTCCAGAAGGCGACGATCTCCGCCGACGTGAGATGGAGACCGGAGACGTGATGCTCGCCGTCGACGTCCTTCGCGCGCTCCCTCGCGGCGGCGATCACCGCGGCGACGTCGCGCGCTTCTTTCGCGCACGCGTGGCGGGAGACGACGCCGTCGTACTTCGCCTCCCATCGCGTCCACTCGCTCGCGTCGTCGCAGTTCCACAGCGCGGCGCATCGACGCAAACGCGCGGGCTGCCCAGCCTTGTCCGCGACGTGAGGAAGACGCTGTTGATGAGATCCGTCGCCGCCGTCGCCCTTGCTCTTCTTCGCGACCGGCGACGCGGCCGAGGGCGTCGAGCGCTTCATTCGACGAGCGACGAGAAAGAGGCCGGGGAGGATCCGCGCGTGGGGCGCGGCCGCGAAGAAGAACACGGTGGACGACGACCAGACGCGAGGCGCGCGGCGATGAGCAGTGAGCCCCGTTCGAAGTCGTCGACACGTTGTTGACGACGAAAAATCCTGAAAAAAAAAACTCCCCCGTCATCATCATTCGCTCAAGAACTCGAGCGCCTCAATCAGCCACTCCCCGTTGCTCCAGCTCGACACCTCATTCGCGTGCGCGTCGCTCCACTTCGCGGGGATGCTGTACTCCTCGAACTGCTCCCGGAGCTGCTCCATCTCCCATCGCGTACGAATCCCCGTCCACAGCGCGATCCGAGGCGACCCCTCCGAATTCTCCGAAATCTCCGAATCCGAATCCGCGCCGAGCGCGGCGGCGATGTGCGCGCACGACGCCAACACCCCCGGGTTGTACGGCGCGAACGACTCGTTCACGACGAACGTCTCCGGGAACGAACTCCACGGCGGCTTATCCTCGTCCCACTTCTCGCCGCCCCACGGCGTGTGCCTCCCGTTGAAGTCGCCCAACACGGGGACGTCGAACGCGGCGACTTTGGGTCGTTCCGTACGAGCGATGATATCGGGGTGGAGTTGAAAGGCGTCAGAAGCGGAGTTGAAAGGCGTCGAGGTGTGTCGGGATTGAAAGCGAGGGTTGGGAGGAGAGAATCGCCGGGAGAGAAAGTCCTTAAGGATCGGCGTTCACCACGCCAACGCGGTCGTATGGGGACCAGTGTATACCCAGAACGCACCTTTGTGAAACACGTGCGCGTGACGCATGAGCGTGTGCAACGCGGCGAATCCGCCGGCGCCGTGCCCGAGCAGCGAGATCTTCCCCACGTCGTGCTCCGCGCACACCCTCGGGAGGATCATCTCCATGAGAAAACTCTCGTGGTTCGAGCTCGTGGTGTCCGCGAGCCACGTCGCGCGGTTAACGCACAGCTCGCAGACGATGAATGAACGCCCCGACGTCCACCACGCCGAGTTTTGAATCGCCGCGCCGCCGCCGACGCCGTCGCCTGCGTTCGCGCCGTACCCCGGCCCCGACGGCACGACGACGATCATGTCGTACGGCGTCTCGCGCGTCGCGTCGTAGTCCGGAGGGAGCGTCACGCGGTACGTCATCGGCGACGGCAGCGGCGCGCGGTTCGGCGGCTGGTCCGAGGGCCCCTCCTCGTTGATCGCGGGCCCGTACACGAGCCCCGCGAGATTCGCGCGCAGGGGCTCCAGGTCGCGGTAGCGATGGTACGCGCGATCGGGGTCGTACTCGAACGGCGCGTCCGGGTTCGCGAGCGGGATGACCTCGTCGTCCGCGTCTGCGTCTTCGTCCGCGTCCTCCTCCCACGTCGACCCCGAGGGAGGGGGCTCCGCGACCGAGCGCGATCGCGACGGGCGGCGAAGCGCGCGGTGGAGGCTCGGGCGAGCGGCGGCGGTCGACGACGACGACGATGGAGAATTTCGTCCGCGCGCGCGCGGCGACGCGACGACGCCTCGAGACCTCGCCGCGGACGCCCTCGCCGACGCGGCCGCGGCGACGCCGAAGCGCATCGCGCCGCACGTCATGTCGTGTTCGCGCGTCCAACCTCGCGCGCGGGGCTGCCTCGACAGTGTGTGACGCCTCTCGAAAGCGACCTGACCTAAAAACTCTGAAAAAGCGCACGCGCACGCGCGTCGCGTCGTCGCGTCGTCAGCGCAGCGCTACGATCGATGCTTTTCCTTCACACGGGGCCGCCCCCCCCCCACGCCGGCGCGATGTCGGACGGCTACGCGGAAATCGCGCGTCTGAACGCCCTCGCGAAGAATCAGACGTGCGCGGACTGCGCGACGAGAAACCCGCAGTGGGCGAGCGTGAACCACGGCGCGTTCCTGTGCATGAACTGCAGCGGCGTGCATCGCGGCCTCGGCGTGCACGTCTCGTTCGTGCGATCGACGACGATGGACACGTGGTCCTCCGCGCAGTTGAGGCTCATGGAGGTGGGCGGGAACGAGCGGCTGGTGAAGTTCTTCGACAAGTACGGCGTCGGGAAGGGCACGCGCGCGGACGTCAAGTACAACAGCGACGTCGCGAGGGCGTATCGCGACAAGCTCCGATGCGAGGTGGAGGGGCGAGAGTGGAAGCGCCCGCGATCGCTGAGCGGCAAATCGTCGTCGTCGTCGTCCAGGGAACCGAAAGCGTCGTCGTCGTCGTCGTCGCGGCGCTCGAAGGGCGGGTTCGACCTCGCGACCGGCGCCGGATCGCTGCTCGCGCGTCGGCACGAGACGTCCGCGGAGGACGCGAGCTGGCGCCCGCCTTCGCCCAAGCCTCCGAGGGGCGCGGTCGACGGCGCGTTCCTCCTCGGTCTGTCCCCGGCGACGTGGGTCGCGCATCTGAAAAAGTTGGACAGGCAGGAGGACCGCGCGTACCACCTGAAGAAGATGAGCGCGGACGAGCGCGCGCAGGTGGTGGCGGCGATGTCGGGGACGGCGCCGCCGCCGACGCCAACGCGCGCGGGGAGAGGGAGGACCGCGGACGGCGGCGGCGGGGGCGGGGGCGGGGGCGAGACGAAGGCGCGCGGCGGCGGGGGCATCGCGAGCATCGATCCGTTCGGGCTGAGCGGCGGCGGCGGCGACGGCGAGGAGGAGGTTTCGAACGGCGGCGCGCGGGACGGCGGCGAGGAGAGCGACTCGGACGACGGCGGCGGCGGCGGGGGAGGACGAGGCGACGACGAAGGAAAATCGGGAAAGGCGAGGTCGAGACCGCCGAAGAAGAAGAAGGACTGGGACGCGAGCGGCTCCGAGTCCGACGGCGACGTGGGCGGGATCGACGCGTTCGTGAACAAACGAAGAGGCGACCCGCGGACGACGGAGGAGCTCGTCGAGGCTAAACGGCGCGAGCGCGAGCGTTTCGAGAAGGCCGCCGCGGAGGAGAAGGCGGAGCGGCGGCGGATGAAGACGGAGAAAGAGGAACGCCGACGACGGACGCGGGAGCGGGAAGACCAGGAAGCCGCGCTTCGATCCGCGGTCGCGAGCGCGGCGTCGTCCGTGCGGGACGAGACGCGATCGCGAGCGGGGAGGAAGAAAGACCGAGATGCGGATCGAGACCGCGCGCCGCCGCCGCCGCCGCCGCCGTCGTCGTTCGCGGCCGCGGCGGCTTTCGACGCGCCGCCGCCGCCGCCCTCCGCGTCGTCGACCATGACCGGGTTCGGAAGCAACCCGGACGCGAAACTCTCCGGATCGAGCCTCGGCGGGTACGAGTACGATTTCCGCGCGCTCGCGTCCGCGGCGGCGGCGCGCGGCGAGTCGGCGATGGAGCGCGCGAGGGGGTGGCTGTCGGGGACGCTGAAAGGATGGGCGGAAACTCTGGACGGCTCCTCCGCCTCCTCCTCCTCTCGCGGCGCGCCCGGGGCGCCTTCATCTTCCTTCGCCGCGCCGAGAGTCGGCGGCAGCGCGACGTCGGCGCCGGCGGCGGCGCCGAGATCGGGGTTCCACGCGTTCGACGTCGGCGGCGGCGGCGGCGGGATCGGGATCGGGATCGTGGAGGAGCGGCGAGGGGACGTCGGCGCCGTCGGCCGGCGACGCGCGGTGAAACCCGAAGACGCGAAAGGGTTCTACAGCGACGACGACGACGACGACGACGGCGGCAGCGGCGACGGAGCCGCGGGGAATATCGCGTCCTCCGACGACGACGAGTACCCCATGGCGAAGGCTGAAGCCGCGGGGAAGTCGGGGGACGTGTTCGCGAACAGCATCAAATCGTTGGCGACCGGATTCGGGGGACAGGCGAACATAGACTCGGACTGACGAGAAGCCGAACGCGTAGCCCTCATGTACCGTATGTAGATCAACGACGACGTGGCGTCGTTAAAACTCTAGCTAGAGAGCCTACTAGGCAGATCTCGCTCGCGGTCGCTCGAGACGCCTACTACCGTAGTCTACTACCGCGCGTTCGTTCTTCTATCGTCGACCGCGGCGAATTCGGCTATATCCGTACGCCGCGGGCACGACCACGCCGTACCCCATGCGTTCCGCCCACTTGTCCAGACCGCTCGGTTCCCAACACTGCGTCAACGCCTCCGACGCTCGATGCCGCAGAAACAGCTCGTACCCGATCGTCCCTTCTCTGCTTCCGAACCGCCCGTGCAGCCCGGGTAAAAAATCCCTCGTCATCGCGCGGTGATCAAAGTCCGGCAGTGCGAGCTATACAAGCGAACGTCAGGGTGGAGTTGAAAGGCGTCAGACGGAGTTGAAAGGCGCCGAGGGCGGGGATTGAAAGCGAGGGGTGGACGGAGAGATGCGCCGGCAAAAGTCCTTAAGGATCGGCGTTCACCACGCCGACGCGGCCGTATGGGAACCAGTGTAAGGAGAACGCACCTCCACGACCCACGCGAGCGCCCGCAGCGTCGCGTACGCCGCGACGACGCCCCCCGCGACGTACCCCGCTCGACGCGCCGCGCGCATCCGCGCCGCGTCCGCCTTGAGCCACTGTTCGAGCGCGTTCATGACGCGAAACCGCACGTGCAAGTCCCCGCGCCGCGCCGTGACTCCGGCCCCGCCCCCGCCGGGGTGGTGCTGCGCGTGATGATGAAGCACGAACCCCTCGCCTCGCATCGTCTTCGTTCCCCCGGACGCGACCACCGCGCTGCCGGGCTTGACGGAGAGCTTCAGCTCGCGGCCGGGCGTCAGCGTGGGAATCGCGACCACGGCGCCGCGCGCGTGCTCCTGAGGGCCATTCCATACACAAAAAAAATGTTCACCGGTCAGTTGAAAGGGGACGCGATCAAGTGTTGAAACCGAGCGGTGGGTGAAAAACTTTTGTATAGAAGAACGCACCTGCCGCGTCAACGCGCACCACACCGTGACGTCCAGCGCGTGTCTGTCGCTCTCTTCTTCGCCTCCATGCGCCGCGGCCGCGTCTCTTCTCGCCGCGTCGCGCACCTCGCGCGGCGCGCCGCGCGTGAAGCGCGCGTGCCGCAACTCCCGCACGACGAACGTCACGCTCTGCAGATTGTTCGTGCGGAGCGCGCCGAACCGAATCTCGTGCCCGTCTCTCCATCCGGGCGCTATCCGCACGTTGAACACCTTGGCCTCTTTCCCCGGGACGCACCCCCTGTCGATTGACGTCAGCGTCGCGACCATCACGCCCTCCCTCCGCGTCGTCCCGGAGTACAGCTCCTCGAGCGTGCACCAGCACTCGCGGACGACCGTCTCCGGGATGCCCAACGCCGCGCAGAACATCCGTCGCGCGTGTCGCTCCTCCGCCTCCGCCTCTCTCGGGTCCATCGGCTCCGGGGCGTGGCCCTCGCGGTCGTACCTCGCGCGCGCCGCGGGGTCGCTCAGGAGCTCGTACGCGGCGCCGATCTCTTTGAACGCGATCGTCGCGCGCTCGCGCTCTTCGTCCGTGCGCGCCTTGTCGGGGTGATGCACGCGCGCGAGTCGATGGTACGCCTTGCGGATCTCCTCGCCCGTCGCGCGCGCCTTCGCGGGGAGGCTTAAGACGTCGTACGGGCATCGCCGCGACGACGGCTTCTTATCGCGCGCCATCGCGACGACGCGTCGCGGTCCCCGGCGACGCCGTCTGCGGCCGGCACCGCGCGCGGAGAGGGAGTGCGGGGACGACGCGCGACGACGCGCTTCGAACTTTCTGTCTGTTTTTTCATCGACCCGACCGAGACGAGCGAGAGCGCGAGCGAGACTCGCGATCGTCGTTTTCCCGCCCAAGCGACGCCGCCGCAGAGACGCGCGCGCGCGAAAGGGGCACCGACGCCGCCGCCAGTCGCGGTCGTTCGCCGCGATCGATGTCCGCCCCGAAGAAGTACGCGTTCCGTCAGCGCCACACGAAGCACAACTACTCGCTCATCGGCGCGGAGCTGTCCGATGACGACGACGACGACGACGGCCCGGTCACGCCCGCGCAGCGATCCGCGGCCGCGGCGGGGCTCGACGCGAGGGCGCTGTCGCACATGGAAGAGCGCGACTTCGCGCACGTCACCAAGGGCGGCGCCGGGAAGATCGCGCAGTACCTCAGCGTCAGGTGCGCGACGTCGACGCGCGGAGGAGGGAGGCGTGGACCCCTCCTTCGATCGTCCCCGGAGGCGATCCATCCATCGTCGAAGCGTCCGCCGACTTTTTCCTCGCGATCGATCGATCGATCGATCGCGAATCGCGCGCGATCGAATCGATCGCTCTCCCCGTCATCGCTCTCCCACGCGGCGCGCACCCCGACCCCGCGCGCTCTGCTATACCCTAACCCCTCACCCAACCCCGCGACGACCACACGCAACACGACACAGAAACCACATCCTGCAGATGTGGGACGAGAACCGCGCGGCGACGCTGCCCGTCGACCGATGCCTCTCCGCGCTTCCCGCCGACGTCGCGGACCTCGCGAGGGACGCGCACGCGTGGTTGAGCAAACACGGCGGGATCAACTACGGCGCCATCCCGGGCGGGGGCGACGTCGTGGGCGTCGCGAGGGCCGTGGACGTCGCCAAGGCGGAGGCGGAGAAGGCGGAGAAGGCTGCCGCGGCGGGGACGGTGGTCGCGGAGGACGACTTGATTCTCGAAAAGACGGTTTCGTTTCTTCGCGGCGCGGACATGAACGCGACGACGGAACGGCAGGTCCGGAACGGCGTGCAAGACGCGCTGGGGATCGACCTCACGGAGAAGAAGCTCATGATACGCGGGATCGTGACGAAGTTTCTCGAGGACCCGGGGTGTTACGACGACGTCGTCGACGGTTACGCCGCGGCCGCCGCGGAAAAGGAGAGGACGCGCGGCGCGGAGCGAGCCGCGGCGCTGAAGCCGCCGCTCGACGGCAAGGTCATCGTCGTCGGCGCCGGCCCCGCCGGCCTCGCCGCCGCGCGCATGATCGCGCACCACGGCCACGACGTCGTCGTCCTCGAAGCGCGCGACAGAGTCGGCGGACGCGTGCACACGGACTCCGCGTCGCTCTCCGTCCCCGTCGACCTCGGCGCGTCCATCATCACGGGAACCGAGGCGGACCCGACGCGACGCACCGGGCTGCCGTGGCGCGGCGTGCGCGCGGACCCCTCCGCGATCGTCGCGTCGCAGCTCGGTCTTGGGCTTCATCCGCTCGGGGATCATTTGCCGCTTTACGACGGCGAGACGGGCGAGAGGGCGCTCGCGACGACGGACGAACGCGTGGAACGCGTGCGCGACGAGGTGATGGACAGAGCGCGGCTGCGCGTGGACCGCGAGGGCGCGGACGCGGTGCGCGCGATGAGCCTCGCGGAGGTGATCGCGGACGAGCTCTCGCAGCAGCTCGGGGAGGAGGAGGAGGAGGAGGAGGGGGGGGAGGGGGGCGGCGGCGGCGCCGGCGGCGCCGGCGGCGGCGCGCGGAAGAAGATCAAGCTCACCGATCACGAGCGTCGACTTCTCGGGTGGCACTGGGCGAACCTCGAGTACGGCTGCAGCGCGCCTCTGTCGAAGATCTCCATGGCGCACTGGAACCAGGACGAGACGTACGGCGGCTTCGGAGGCAAGCACGCGATGGTCAAGGGCGGGTACGGCGCCATCACGAGCGCGATGAGCGACGGGCTCGACGTCCGACTCGGCGTCGCGGTGACGTCCATCACGACGCGCGCGGACGGCGACGCGGACGGCGACGCCGGCGGCGTCGTCGTGACCACGTCGACGGGCGAGACGCACGAGGGCGCCGCGTGCGTCGTGACCATACCGCTCGGGTGCCTGAAGAACGGCGACATCGCGTTCGACCCGCCGTTGTCGGAGAAGAAGCGAACCGCGATCGAGAGGCTCGGGTTCGGGAAGCTCGACAAGGTGGTGATGGAGTTTACGGAAGCGTTCTGGGACGAGGACGTGGACTACTTCGGCGCCGCGCGCGACGACGACGACGAGGAGGAGGAGGGAGGGGAGGGGAACGAAGGCAACCCTGGCGCGACGACGACGACGACGACGACGACGACGACGACGCGCGGAAGGATGTTCATGTTCTGGAACTTGCAGAAAGCCGTCGGCGCGCCGGTGCTCACCGCGCTCGTCGCCGGCGCCGCCGCCGAACGCGCCGAGTCGGAGAGCGACGCGTCGCTCGTCTCGGGCGCGATGGAGGTCCTGCGACGCATCTCTTCCGCGGCCAAGGCGAAGAAAGCTAAGGCGGCGGAGAGTAACAGTAACGGCGGCGACGCTGGCCCGGACGCGGACTCGAACTGGAGCTCCAAGGAGGTGTCCGAGCCGATCGCGCACGTCGTGAGCCGCTGGGGCGCCGACCCCCGCGCGCGCGGCAGCTACTCGTACGTCGCCGTCGGCGCCTCCGCGGAGGATTACGACGAGCTCGGGCGACCGGAGGGACGCGTGCTCTTCGCGGGCGAGCACGCGTGCAAGGAGCACCCGGACACGGTCGGCGGCGCGATGCTGGCGGGCTGGCGCGCGGCGAGGCACGCGTTGCATCTGATGACGCGCGCGCCGGGGGAGCCGTTCGACGAGGTGTTTGACTTGCTCACGTTGGAGGAGCTCGCGGGGCCCGGGAGCGACGACGACAGCGGGAGCGACGACGACGACGACGGCAGCGACGACGAAGACGAAGACGGCGGCGAGAAGAAGAAGAAGAAGAAGAAGAAGAGAGGGAAGAAGGGACGACGCGGGTACGACGACGACGACGAGGACGGGCCCGAGGACGACGAAGCCGCGCGAGAACGCGCGCGGAAGCGACTCGAGCTCGAGGCGCGAGAACGCAAAGAAGCGTACGAGCGCGAGCAAAAAGAAGCGACGGAGGGAAAAGAAGAAGCGAAGAAGGTCCTCCGCATCGTCTGCGACGTCCCGAGCGTGCAGAGAGACGGCGGCGGCGGCGGCGGCGGCAGGCTAATCTCCGGCGACAAGATGGAGCAGCTGACGCGCGCGATGAAGGAGTTGGAAACCACGAGCGGCCGCCGCGCGTTCGTCGAGGCGATGCTCGACAAAGTTCCGTCGTCGCAGCGAGACGACTGGGCGATCCAGCGCGGCGGCATGTCGACCCTCACCGAGTGGCTCGAGCAGGTGAGCGTCAAGGATCACGGCCGCGAGCTCACGCTCCGCGCGCTGCGGCTCGTGTGCGTCTGCCCCGCGGACTTGGACGCGATTCGATCGTCGGGCGTCGCCAAGGTTTTAAAGGAGAAATTTTCGACGCACGCGAAACCCGAGGTGCGATCGCTCGCGCGTCGGTGCGCGCACAAGTGGACGCAGGCCGCGGCGAAGGCGCGAGCGGTCGAGCGCGCGGCCGCGCACGCGGAAGCCATGGGGTGGACCGAGGAAGACACCGCGCGCGTCGCGATGGAGGAGGCGGAGGAACGGAGGCTGCGTCGCCGCGCGGCGGCGGCGGCGCGCGGCGGCGGCGACGACGACGTCGACGTCCCGCTCTCCGAGAAGCGCGCGGCGCTCACCGTGGACGAGATGATTGAGCAGGCGTCCGCGCTGCCGGAGGGCGCGGCCGCCGCGGAGGCGCAGAGAGCCGCCGCGGACGCGGAGGAGGCGCTTCGGGTCGCCCAGGAGGCGGTGCGCGAGGCGGACCTTCGCGCGTCCGAGGCGGAGAAGCTCGCGTCGGAGCAGCTCGCAGACGCCTGGAACGTTCGGGGCGCCGCCGGCGTCGGCGTCGGCGTCGGCGTCGCGGGGGGGAAGAAGCAGAAGCTGCGGATGAAAAACTTCGACGACTTCGCCGCGCATAAGATTCGAAAGCGCGAGCACAAGAAGAGAGAGCAGGTGCGGCGCGAGCGCGAGGACGCGGCGGAGGCGGCGGAGGCGGCGGCGGAGGAAGCCGCCGCCGCCGCCGGCGGCGCCGGGACGGCGGCGGCGGCGGCGGATCCGACCGCGTTCGCGATCGACGCCTCCAACCCCGTCGCGGCGACGCTCGCGGCCGCGGGCGCGAAGCTCTCCGCCGCGCTCGCGTCCACTCCCGAGAAGGCGCACAAGGAACGCGTGCGGAAGCTCGTCGCGCACTACGCGCACGGGCTGTTGAAGCGACGCGTGAAGGACGCGGAGGAAAAGGGCGCGAAGAAGATGTCGCGCGACGAGTGCAAACGCGTCGAGGGCAAGGTTGCCGCGAAGGTCGTGGAGAATTCCACGAGCCTCGGGGAGCCGGGGGACGCGTTCGACGAGCGCTCGTTCTTGTCGGGGAAGCGCAAGGAGAAGATCAAGGCGCTCGTGGAGTCGTACTGCGCCGCGAAAGGGCGGTGAGACGGACGCGGGAGAGGCGGGGCGGGGCGGGGCGTCGAGAGCGAAACTTTTCATTACATTTTTTGGACGCGGCGGGCGTTCGCGACGACGACGACGACGACGCGGCGGGTTCTGTCGGTTGTTGGTAATAACGACGGCATCGCAACACGACACCACGTACACGACGCGCGATAAAAGCGCATCGATACCTCCCCGTCGTGAATCCACGAGAGGACGCCAAAGTCCGCGTCGCCCGCGTTTGATGAGTCGTCGGAGCTGTCAATCGATTTTTTATTAAGAGCGGCGCGCCGCGGGCGAGACGCGTTACTCTTCGATCTCGTCCCGTCGTCCGAGAGATCGCACACTTCTCGAGCGCCCCCGGGGGCCTTCGACGTCCGCCATGTCGGGATTCTCGGGCGCGGTCAAGCTCGGGGACCTGAACGATTTCATCAACCCCTCTCAGAACTGCGTCGTCGCGCTCACGGGTGCGCGCCGCGGCCCCTCCCTCCCTCGCGCGACCGATCGATCGAGCGAGCGAGCGAGCGAGCGAGCGCGGCTCGACGTCCTCGCGCCCCCGCCTCTGCTCGATCTGACGACCGACGCGCTCCCCACGCCGCCGCCCGTCCGTCCGCAGGCGATAAGCTCGACCTCAGCGCCGTGGACGTCGACTTCCAGGAAGCCGGCGAGGTCATCCTACAGAGACGCGGCGCGCCCCCTTCAGATCTGCCGCCGGGCGCGCCGACCATCTACGGCGACCCGAGCGCGCCCACGGTGAAGGTGTCGCTGTCCGACTGCCTCGCGTGCAGCGGCTGCGTCACGTCCGCGGAGACGGTGCTCCTCGAGGCGCAGAGCGCGGACGAGTTCCGCGCGCGCGTGCGCGCGGCGGCGATGAGCGGCGGGCGGATGGTCGTCGTCGTGTCGGTGTCGCCGCAGTCGCGCGCGTCGCTGGCGCGCGCGGCGGGGCTCGACGCGTTGGACGCGGCGAAGCGGCTGACGGGATTTTTCAAGGCGCGTCCGTCGTCTCTGACACTGGTCCCCATACGATCCCGTTCGCGAAGTGCACGCCGATCCTTAAGGACTTTTCCCGGCGCATCTCTCCGCTCATCTCTCGCTTTCAATCCCCCCCCTCGACGCCTTTCAACTTCAACTGACGCCTTTCAACTCCACCCCGACGTCGCTTCGTACGGAACGCGGCCCTCATCAGACGATGGGCGTCGCGAGAGTGCTCGACACGACCGCGTCGCGCGATTTATCTCTCCTCGAGTCGTGCGAGGAGTTCGTGTCGAGGTACCGTAACGCTAAGCACGCGGCGGTTACGAACACTCCGCCGCCGTCCCCCGCGGACGTGCTCCCCGTGCTGACGTCGGCGTGTCCCGGGTGGGTGTGCTACGCGGAGAAGACCCACGGCGGCGCCGTGTTGAACCACGTCAGCGCGGTGAAATCGCCGCAGCAGGTTATGGGCTGCATCGTGAAGAGGAAGATCGCGGCGGAGCTCGGCGTGCCCGCGTCCGCGGTGTTCCACGCGACGGTGATGCCGTGCTTCGACAAGAAGCTCGAGGCGTCGCGCGAGGATTTCGCGATGGACGACTTGGGCGAAAACGTGAGAGAGGTGGACTGCGTGTTGACGACGGGTGAGGTGGCGGAGATGATCGCCGTCGCCGCGGGGTTGGGCGCGCCGTCGTCTGGTGGCGGCGACGGCGCGGGAGCGACTTTGGATTCCGGGGAGCTCGGGAAAGGCGAGCTCGCGGCGAAAGGCGCCGCAGCGCTCGCGCTCGTGAACCCGGCGCGTTCTACACACTGGTCCCCATACGATCGCGTTCGCGTGGTGAACGCCATTCCTTAAGGACTTTGCCCGTCGTCTCTCTCCGCCCAGCTCTCGCTTTCAATCCCCGCCCGCGATGCCTTTCAACTCCACCTGACGCCTTTCAACTCCACCCCGTCGTTCGCTCGTACGGAACGACCCCGAGGCGCCTTTGGACGGCGCGCTCGCCGGCGCGGGCGGCGGCGGCGGCGGCGGCGGCGGCGGCGACGGCGACATGGACGTCGACGCGGGCGGGGAGTGGCTGTGGGGCGCGGACGCGCCCGGCGGGAACAGCGGCAGCGGCGGGTACCTCGACGCGGTGTTCCGGCACGCGGCGAAGGTTCTCCACGGCGTGGACGTTACCGGGCCGTTGAAGTACGCGACGCCGTCGTCGCGAAATTTGGATCTGAAGGAGGTCACGCTCGAGGTGGACGGCGCGGTCGTGCTGCGTTTCGCGGCCGCGTACGGGTTCAGGAACATCCAGAACATCGTCAGGAAGTGCAAGGCTGGGTCGGTCGCGACGGGGGACGCCTACGACTTCGTGGAGATCATGGCGTGCCCCAGCGGGTGCCTCAACGGCGGCGGGCAACTCCCGCCGCCGCCGCGGTTCGAGAAGGGTCTGCGGCTTCCGAAAAACTTCGACCCGAACAACCTCCCGCCCGGGTTCGAGCACCTGCACGCGAGCAACTTCATGACCGCGAGAGACCTCGTGGACAGGCTCGACGAGATCTACCGCGGCGAGGACGGATCGGGGGTGGTGGCGCCGAGGGCGCCGGGGGCGAATCCGTTCGCGGCGGTGGCGTACGGCGACGGCGGGTGGGTCGGCGGGGGCGTCGGGAGCGAGCGCGCGCGGAGGTTGTTTCACACGCGGTACCACGACCGTAAGGCGGAGGCGGAGGGCGCGAGCGGGGCGGTGAAGGCGGCGCGGGACGTGATGATAGCGAGCGATTGGTAGCGTACGTAGCGAAGGAGAGGTTGGTTGGTAATCAGATTTACTCTCATCATCTCAGATTAGCACGCACTCGAGCTCGTCGTTTCAGCAGTGCGCTCGTCGTCGCGTCGTCAGTGTCTTCCGCCCGCGCGCTCGTAGGGTCCTTCGTCCTTCTCGTCGCTCGCCGCGCGACGACGACGAGCGCGTCGCGTCGCCCGGTCCGTCTCTCGGACGTGCATGAAGGGTCTGCAGGACTTTGTCATCCGCGGCGAGGCCTTGAAGCTGCTTCGGAACGCGCTGCGCGCGGCTCGAAACGCGCCGGCGGAGTCGAGAGGTGAGATCGTGGCTGAGATCCGGAGGTCGTTCGAGGTGTCCGCGCATCACACCGATCGCGTCACGATCAAGCACCTCCTCTCGGACGGGCGGATCCGCCTGAAGATGCTCAAGGAGCTCGTCGGGCTGACCGAGTGAGGAAGGAGAGGAGAAGACGACGTCGCGTCGGTCGGATCAGAGCAGAGGAACCGAACGTGGGCACCTCCTCCCTTCGTAGAGTTATTTAGCCCATCAGACGAACGATGACGACGCGCGCGATGGCGGCGTTGACGACGCGCGCGACGCGCCGCCGCGCGACGACGACGACGACGACTTCGTTTTCGTCTTCGCTCTCGCGCGCGTTCAGCGCGTCGAGCGGCGAAGGCGGCGACGATGACGGCGGCGAAGGCGAAGGCAACGAGCGATTGCTGCGATCGCTCGCGACGCTCGGGGGCGCGTACGCGCCATTCTCGGACTGGCTCCGCGCGCGCGCGCCCGTCGCGCACCCGTCGCTCGTCGCGACGCGCGTCCCCGGCATGGGCGTCGGCCTCGCGGTCGCCTCCGACCCTCGTGCGGCGCCCGTCAAAGCCGGCGACGTCGTGTTGCGTCTGCCGCGGGACGTTTGGCATCCGGTGAGCGCGGACGCCGCCGTCGCCGCCGCGCGATCGAAAGTTCCCGCGTTCGCGGCGCACGTCGAGGACGTCGCCGCGCGGTTCGGCGCGCGCGAGCTCGCGACGCACGCGCTCTTCGCTCTGCATCTGCTGTTCGAGCTAGGCGACGATTCGTCTTCCGCGCGGCCGTATCTCGCGACGCTCCCGAGCCTTCTCGGCGGCGCGCGCGGCGAGCCGAGCGTGCCGGCGCTTTGGAGTCCCGAGCAGATCGCGACGCTGCGCGGGACGCCGACGCACGCGGCGGTGCTCAAGCGCGCGAAGTTCATCGCCGCGACGCACGCGGCGCTGTTCCCAGTGAATCCAGAAAACGGTCAGGGTCCGGCGGTTTCGTTGGAGCGGTACGCGTGGGCGACGGCGACGGTGCTCTCTCGCGCGACGCGCGGCGAGGGGACGCCATACACGCTGATGCCGTGCGCGGACCTTCTGAATCACGGCGCGGGCGCGCGCGCCAACTGCGTGCTGGGCGCGAGCCGCGCCGCCGCCCAGGGGTTCGGACGCGGTCGCGGGGAAGATGGAACGTCAACCGGCGCGTGGGAGGAGGTCGTCGTGACGTGTTCTCGGGACGTCGCTCGCGGGGAACAGCTGTTGATATCCTACGGCGACGACGCGTGTAACGATAAGCTTCTGCGTCTGTACGGGTTCGCCGTCGCGGATAACCCGAACGATCGCAGGGAGATCGTCATGGAGCTCGAGGGCGACGCGCTCGAGCGGTGGAACGCGACGGAGTTATTAGGCCCGGGGCTGAGCTACGCGAGAACCGCGGTGTTGAGAATGCGCGGCTTGCCGAGGCTCGATCCGTTCGCGGATCACGCGATCGAGATGGAGCAGATCGAGGCGATGATGCGGCAGGTCGCGGAGGACGCGAAGAGAAAGAGAGGGAAAGGGAAAGGGAAAGGGAAGTGGGTGGGCGAGGACGCGTCGGCCGCGGGGAAGCCGCCGGCGGCGCCGCCGGCGTTTCGCGACCCGGACGCGTCGGACAAACGTTCGGACGACGATGCGGAGGACCCGAGCCGCCCGGAGCGGTCGATGGACGACATCTCCGACGCGTTCGACGTAGATTTCGACGACGACGACGACGACGAGGATGAGGACGATTACGCGACGACGAAGGAAACGACAACGACGAAACCGCCGCCGAGGTGGCGTTGTTTCGTCGCGCACCCGAAGCGCCGCGTGGAGGACGCGTCGTCGAACGAAAAGATGGAGGTGCGTTCTATACACTGGTCCCCATACGACCGCGTTCGCGTGGTGGACGCCGATCCTTAAGGACTTTGTCCGGCGGTTCTCTCCGCCCACACCTCGCTTTCAATCCCCGTCCTCGACGCCTTTCAACTCCACCCCGACTTTCGCTTGTATAGAACGGCCCTCACGAAAAGATGGACTCTTCGACGGAAGCCGCGGCGACGCGCGCGGCGGCGGCGGACGCGCGCGCGACCGGACATCGCGGCGGCGCCGTCAGCGCGTCCACGCTCCTCGCCACCTTGCGCGCGCACGTGCTCCAGGGCGACGAGCCGCCGGGCGAGGACGGGGCGGAACCGAACCCGCTGCGTCCGATGTCCGAAGCGAACGAAGCCGCGGCGGTGGCGACGCTTCGACGCGCGTCGGAGGCGGCGCGCGCGGAGATGCGCGAGCTCATCGCGCGCGGCGACGACGACGACGACGACGGATCCGTGGACGCGCTCGACCCGGAGACGCGGGCGAGGGTGATGGCGCGCGTCGACGCGGACGAGGATTGGGCGCGCGCGGTGCGGACGCTGCGACGGGGGCAGGAGGATATATTGGACGCGATCGAGGCGGCGATCACGACGAGCGACTAGCTAGTAGACTGCGTGAGTATTCATTCTTATTCGCTCCTCGCGACTCCGCCTACGCCCGTCCTCGCGCGGGCCCCTCTTCGCTTCGGGATGACGTCCAGCTCGACGTTATCCGGCCGCAGCGTGATCAACGCGCGCGGCCGCGGCGGCGCGCGGCCCGGCAACGTCTTCAAATCCACCGTCGAGGCGATCATCGCGACAAGTATCGTCGCCTCCATCATCGCGAACCCGGTGCCGATGCACACCCTCGGGCCCGCGCCGAACGGGAGGTACACCCCACCTGGCCCGGTGCCTCTCAGCGCGCCCTTCGCCATCGGCGGTGCGTCGGTCATCGGTCGGTCGTCCGTCGCGCTCTCGCTCTCGCTCTCGCTCTCGCTCTCGCTCTTCTTCGGCGCGCCGCCCGGTCGAAGCCACCGCTCCGGGTCGAACGCGTCCGGGTCGTCCCACCGCCGCGCGTCCCTGTGAAGCAAATACGGCGCGATCAAGATCGTCGTGCCCTTCCGCAGGCTGTGCCCGCCGACGACGACGTCGCGCGCCGCGCACCGACCGACCATGTACGCGGGAGGGTACAGACGCATGGTCTCGAGGACCACCGCCTCGACGTATTTCATCTCGCCGACGTTTTCCGCCGTCGGCGACGCGATTTCGATTTCGTCGTCGCCGTCGCCGCCGCCGCTTCCGTCGCCCAACACCGCGCGCGCCTCCGCGGCGCACCGCTCCGCCACCTCCGGGTGCTGCGCGAGCAGCGCGCAGCACCACGATAACAATATCGCGGACGTCTCCTGCCCGGCGACCATGAGCGTCATGAGCTCGTCCCGCAGAGACGCGTCGGTCATGCCGCCGCCGTCGCCGCCGTCGCCGTCGTCCCTCGCGTCGAGCAGTCGATCGAGAAGATCGGGGCCGCGCGACGGCGTGGTGGACGAAGACCCCCCCGGCACTTCTTCTTCTTCTTCTTCTTCCTCCTCTTCCACGAATTCGTCTTCTCTGTCCTCGTCGAGCAGCTCCAATCGCTCGTACCGCGGCTTCTCTCTCTTCGCGCGTCGCTCCGCGATGAGCGCGTACACCGCGTCGTCCAACCGCGCCACCGCGGCCGCGTACCCGGCGTTCTCCGGCGTCGGCGCCCACTCCGGCACGATGAACCCACTGCTCGAGCGCTTCCCGAAGAACTCGAACGCCTCCGCGATCGCGGCGTTGATCTCCTTCGCGCGCGCGCCGCGGACGTCGGCGCCGAAGAGCGCGTCGGCGACGATCTCGAGCGTGAGGTCGTTGAAATCCGCGTACGCGTCTCGAATCGTCCGCGCGCTCCACGGCCCGCGCAGCAGCCGCTCGCCCGCGCGCGTCATCGCGGTCGCGTACGCGTCCACCGCCGCGGCTCGAAACGCGGGGTTGGATAAGCGGCGCTGCCGCGCCCACTTCTCGCCGTCGCTGACGAGGAGGCCTTCGCCCGCGAGGCTCGAGCCGGGAAAAAACGCGGTGCCCTCTTTCACGAAGAGATCCGCGCGATCGATCGCGACGTCTCTGACGACGTCCGGGTCGGACACGAGGACGACGTGCTCGCCCGCGAGGCGCAAGCCGACGACGTCGCCGTGCTCGCGCTGCGTCTTTACGATGAACGCGATCGGGTCCGCGGCGAGCTCGACCGCGGCGTCGCCGGGTGGGCCGGGGGGGAAATCCGCGGGGGTGGGCTCGAACGCGCGCGCGAAGGCGCGCGCGACGTCGCCGACGAGAGGGACGGACGCGGTCGCCGCCGCGGTCGTCTCGAGGAAGAACGCGGCGACGGACGCGATGTCCTCCGGCGTCGGTTTCGGCGCGGGAGGGGCTGTTGACGTGGACGACGACGACGACGACGACGACGACGACGACGACGTCGACGCGTCGTCGCTCGCGGTCGCTCGCGGTCGCTCGAATCGTCGCGACGACGCGACGAGATCTCGCGCGGCGACGCGACGAGATCGCGCGACCGCGGCCGTCTCCTCGCCGCGTCCTCGGCATCGAAGCGCGCGCGACGGCGCGAAGCCGCGCGACGCGGGCGCCGTGGCGGCGGACATCGCGAGGCCGCGCGCGAGCGAGTGTAGAAGTGCCACCGAAACCCTGAACCCTGAGGTCACCAAAAAGTTCGTTGAGGACATCATCAAATCTTCGGCCTCCGCACACACTCCCGATCGCGCGATACCTGACTGAACATGTTCGGCGGCATCTTCGGTGGCAACAAAGGCGACAGCAGCAGCAACCAGGGCTCTCCCAAGAAGACAACTCCCGTGGGTGCGTCCTCGGACGCGCTCCCGCGTCGCGCCCGCGCGTCGTCGCCGACGCTCCGCCGACCCTCTTTTTCCTCTTATCGAGATCCTCACGTCGTCGTCCTCCCCCCCCCACCCACCCCCCCCCCGCCACGATCCAGGGAAGTGCCCGTGGTCTGACTGCAGCTGCGGCGCCAACTGCGGCTGCGGCGCGGCGTGCAAGTGCGGCTCGAAGCGACGCTGAGGAGGGAGGAGGACGCCGCGTCGTCGTTCGATCGACCGAACGACCGCGCTCGACTAGCCGTAGTACGACGAGAGAAGAAGACCGAGACGTCGTCGTTCGTCGCGATGAGCGCGTCGTTCTCGTCTCTGGACCTCATGGAGAAGGACGCGCTCATGGCGCGCGGCGGCGATCGCGGTCGCGGCGGCGACGACATCGTCCAGAAAGCGTTCGGCGGGAGTCGCTTCCGCCAGATCCCCCGCGCGATCTTCGCGAAGCTCACGCTCCCGGTGATACTCGTCCTAGGCGTGATCTGGTACGTTGTTACTATACACTGTTCCCCATACGACCGCGTCGGCGTGGTGAACGCCGATCCTTAAGGACTTTTCCCGGCGATTCTCTCCTCCCACCCCTCGCTTTCAATCCCCGCCCTCGGCGCCTATCAACTCCTTCTGACGCCTTTCAACTCCACCCCGACGTTCGTTCGCTCGTATGGACCCTCGACCCTCAGGTACGTCTACTTCGTCGCCGTCCACGGCGTGATGCGGCCGTGGGTGCTCCACGGCGCGAACAGCACGTCGACGCACGAGTACGCGTTCACGGTCACGACGTGCATGGCGGTGGTGATGTACGCGTGCTGCGTGTTCGTGGACCCCGGGAGGGTGCCCGCGCATTATCGGCCGAACGACGGAGACGGCGGCGGACCGGGCGGATTAAACGGAGGCGGCTCGTCGTCGTCGCGTGGGAGGCTGCTCGAGCTTAAACGCAAGGGCGGGTCGCGGTTCTGTAAGAAGTGCATGACGCACAAGCCCCCGAGGGCGCACCACTGCAGGGTGTGCAACAAGTGCGTGCTGCGGATGGACCATCACTGCGTGTGGATCAACAACTGCGTCGGGCACGGAAATTACAAGGCTTTTTTTTTGTTCCTCACGTACGTCGCCGTCGCGTGTTGGCACGCGTTCGTCTGCCTCGCGTGGCACGCGTTCGAAGGGTTAGAGGACGACCACGTCGCCGCCGCGCGGAGTACTACTACATCGCGCGCGAACGTAAACGCGCACGCGAACGCCGCCGCCGAAGGCCACGGGTGGATCTTGTTGGAGGTGTCGTGCCTGACGTTGTGCGTCCCGCTCGTCGTCGCGTTGTCGTTGCTGTGGTGCTGGCACGCGTACCTAGTCGTGAACAACAAGACCACGATCGAGCACTACGAAGGCGTCCGGTCGAGGGTCGTTCCCAGGGACGACGGCGAGGGCGGCGGCGGCGGCGCCGTGAACATGCCGCCGCTGCATCCGACGGGCGGCGCTGCGGACGCGGCGCACCCGTACAGTCTGGGCGTCGTCGCGAATTTGAGGGAAATTCTCGGGCACCGCGTGTTGTGTTGGCTCGCGCCGTCGTGCGCGATTTCCGGCGACGGGCTGTCGTTCGCGAACGTCGCGGACGGGCCGCGGTATCGCAGGGAGGTGAAGAAGAAGGAGACGGAGCTGACGCTGTTGAGTTGACGACTGGACGGCGGAGAGAGGGAGGGAGGGAGGGATAGAGAGAGGCGGTTCGGTTTGTCGCGGACATGAAAGACTTGAACGCGTTTTTGTTTCGTTGAGGTCGCCCGAGAGTAGTGTAGCGCTCTTCTCGTCGACTCCTGTCATAGTATCTTGTCGCGCGCCGCCGCCGCCGCCGCCGCCGCCGCGAGCGTCATGCCCCGCGCGTCGTCCGCGCTCGTCCTCGCGCTCGTCCTCGCGCTCGCGCACGTCGCCGCCGCGCGCGCGGCGACGCTCGCGACGCGCCTCCCGCCCGCGCCGCCGCCGCCGTCACCGTCGCCCGCGTTTCCCCCGTTCCCGTCGTCGCTCCAGCCCGCGTGGCGCGCGTGCGGGTGCGCCGCCGTGGAGCTGGCGTGCAGGGACGTCCACCGCGCCGCCTCCGCGATCGACGCGTGCGCGCGCGCGTTCGTCGGACCGCGCGGGAGCTCGTGCGCGCGCCTCGACGGCGACGACGACGACGACGACGCGCGCGCCGCGTGCGTCGCGAAGCTCGAGCGACAGCGCGCGTCCGTCGACGGCGACCACGTCCGAGCCATGAGCGGCGACGTCCGCCGGGGCGTCCCCCGCGCGGGCATCGCGTCGCGTCCGTTCGGCTGGCGCGTCTTCGCCGCGCCGTGGTGCTGCGGCGAGTGCTGCTACGTCGCCGCGTGCTTCCCGTGCTACCGGACGCTGTACGACTACGTAGACGAGCGCGTGCGGTATCTCGCGGAGGTGGCGGGCGTCGCGCCGCCGGCGCCGCCGCCGATATTCGTGATCCCGGGCGGGCTCGTCTCCGTCCCAGCGCCGCTCGTGGGCGGGTTCGGCGCCGCGGCGGCGGAGGAGGCGGAGGAAAACACATCGCGGTCGGGCGCCTCCTCGAGTAACGCTCGAGTGTCTTCGGTCGCGTACGAGGACGACGCGCCGCTGAAATGGAACGACGCGTGGAGCGACGCGCTTCTGTCCGCCGCGACCGCCGCGGCGTCGGAGCGAACGCGGAGGCGCTAAAACAAACGTGCGCGTGTGCGTACCGTGCGCGTGCGTATACATCGTGTGCGCGTCGTGCTGTCACTCACTCACTCTCTCTCTCTCTCTGTCTCCGCGGTTCGGTCGATCAGTCCGGCCGTCGCATCTTGCGGTTCACGGACGGCTCCTTGTAGTCGGCGTGCGATCCAGCCTGCCTTCGCGCGCGCTCGCACGTCGGCGGCGGCGGCGACGACGGCGACGCGCTCGGCTCCTCCTCCGGGGTCGGAAGCGACGCCGCCGAGCTGAGCACCGCGGCGAACGACAGTCGTCGGTTCGTCTGCGCCGTCGCGCGCCGCGGCGGGACGTGGTGCATCAGCGACGGCGTCGCGGGGAACGCCTCCTCGAGGTCGACGTTGAACGACATCGACGCGTCGCACAGCAGCGGCGACTCAGAAGACGTCTCCTCCGGGTCCGGGGGCGTGTCCGGGAGGGATTCGCGCTCGAACGACGGCGGCGACGGCGCGTCCGCGTCCGTCCGTCCCGTCGCCTCGGTCGCCGCCTCGTGGAACAGAGGCACGGGCGGCTTCTCGAACGTCGTCGCCGCGTCGATCGACGTATCCTCGGGGGGGGGCGCGAACGCGCGGCGGCGGCGGCGGGACGTGACGTACGCGGGAGAGAACAGCGCCGACGCCGAGGGCGGCATCTCCGGCTCGGGCGGCGGCGGCGGCGGCGGCGGCGGGTCCTCCTCCTCCTCCTCCTCCAACGCCGCCGCGACCGCCGCCGCTTCCTCCGCGACGTCGTCCGTCCAGCGTGCCTCCGTCGCGGGCGTGTCCATCCGTCCGTCGCGAGGGACGACGCGCGACGGCTCCGGCGTCGCGTCTCCCCCGCGCGTCGACCGCGGCTTACTCTTCGGCTTTCGCCTTTTCGGCGACCACGGCCGACGCATCTTCGCGCGCAGGCTCGGCTCGGCGTAGCACACGGGCGTGCGTCCTCGCGTCGCGCGCGTCGCGGAGTCGAGGCCGGTCGCGGCGAACCCGCGGAAGTTCGCCGCGGCGCTCGGCACGGGGTTCGCGGCGACGGGGGTGTCGCGCGGCGGCGGCGGCGGCGGCGGCGGTGAAGGCGGCGAAGGCGAAGGCGACGGCGACCGCGACGGCGCGTCGTCCAGCTCCGTCGGCGCGTCTTCCCAGTGCTCGTCGTCCGGGTCCTCCGCCGCGGGCGAGAACCCGGTGAAGTCGTACGGCGACGGCGGCGCGGCGGCGGTCGGCGCGCGTTGGGGGGAGAGCGGCGAGCGCAGATCGATCGCGGGGTCCGCGACCGCCGCCGCCGCCGCCGCCGCGGGAGACGGCTGCGCCTTGTGCATCCGCAAGTTCCGCAGCGTCGGCGCCTCGAGCGTCTGCTGCAGCTCTTTCAGGCTCTTCGTCGCGTTGACCTGGATCCTGAGCTTCGTGACCTCGTCGTTCGCCTCGTGAAGCTTCGCCGAGGCGTAGGGTCGCGCGACGCGGGGGCGGAGACGTGAGCGAGCGCCTGAGAGCGGGTTTTTTAAAAAAAGTGCGCGTGTTTTCGCGCTCGACGTCCTCACCAGTAGGAGCGCCTTCTGGCGCGCGATCTCTTCTTTCTGCTGCCGCAACAGCGCGGTCATGATGTTCGCCTGCTTCACCGCGTTCGTCGCGATGTCCGCGCGTCGTTTCGCCGACGCGAGCTCTTGACGCAGCTGCGTAGGGAGGAGGGCGTGAGGCGCGCGCGCGAGCGGAAAAAAAAGTCGACGAAGCGTTCGACCGACGCGGTTCGAAGGACGCCGCGCACCTTCGCGTTGTGACGCGCGAGCTCCTGATTGGCGTGCACGAACCGCTTCATGACGGACGGCGCGGGCGGCTTCTCCGCGTTCGCGCCGTCCGTCGCTGCCTTCCCTCGCGCCGCCATGCCGCTCAGAACACGGTCTTTCGCGCGAGGTATATTAAAAAAATTCCCCACCCGCGGCAAAGCGTCTCCTCAGTCCACGTCCAACCGTCGCGGTCGCGCAGCAGCTTGACGTTCTTCGCGGCGAAGAGGAAGAACTTGACGACGCGGCGCATGAAACGCACGCGCGGGCGCGTCGTGCGACGGGGAAGCGCGCGCTCGGCGGTGTGCGAGACCGACGCGCGCGACAACTTATTCAAACGCGAGCGCGCGAGGAGTGAAAAAAGCGACAGCTGTCGCTGTCGAGCGGAGTTCGGCGCAGTCGTCGCGCGCGCGCGCGAAGAGCGGCGCACGCGAGGACGATGCATCCGCTTTACGCGGACGGCGGCGGCGGCTACGACACCGGCGGGAGGCTCCTCCCCGTCCTCGAGCCCTCGCACGACGCGTCGTTCGCGCCGCTCGCGCACGCGCTCGGGCGCGACGGGACGGAGAACGCGAAGAGCGCCACCGCGGTGGTCGACGGCCTGGACGCGTGCGGGATCGAGGCCGCGCGCGTCCTCGCGCGCAGCGGCCTCATGTCGCTCGTCCTCGTGGACGACGCGCGCGTGGAGCAGCGCGATCTGGACGCGTGCTCGCTCTTCACGACCGAGGACGTCGTCCGCGGGCGCTCGCGCGCGGAAGCGCTCGCGCGATGCGTCAACGACGCGACGTCGAATCTGAAGACGCCACACACGAAGGTGAGATCCGTGGCGGAGGCGGACGTCGCGGAGCTGATGAAGCAGGAGGAGTCTGAGGGCGGGTTCGTGGACGTCGTCTTGAGCACGAGGAAGGACATCGACGCGCAGAAGGAGCTCAACCGGAAGTGCGCGGAGTGCGACGTCGAGAGACCGCAGCTCGAGGGCCAGGATACTTACCTGATACTTCCACGAAGGAACGTCGACCACGTCTTCGCGTGCGCGCTCGGCTGCTTCGCGTTCGCGTTCGTCGACGCCGGCGAGCGCCACGACATGAAATCGAAGCGAACGCCGACGTCGAGCTATGAGAACGATAGATGCTTCAAAGTCGCGGACGACAGGGTCGTCATCCCCCCCGTCGCGATGGTCGAGAGCGTCGTCCCGGACGCGGACGAACGGCGCGCCGATCGCGGCGGCCGAGGGTGCGCGGCGACGGTGTGCGACGCCGCCGCGCACGGGCTCAGCGCGGGCGACCGCGTCGAGTTCACCGGCGTCGGAGGCTTCGAGATGAGGTCGACGAAGAGGTCGACGGTGACCGAGGTCGTGAACCCGCACGCGTTTAAGGTTGACCTGGAGCACAAGTACGCGCTGAGCGGGGTTTACACGAGCGGGGTTTACACGAGCGGGGTGAGCGCGCTGGGCGGGTGGGTGGAGCAGATGCCGAGGGAACGGGACGTGCGCTTCGACGCGCTCGAAGAGACGCTGAAGCGCGCGAGACGCATCGCGGAAGACATCGACGCCGAGGTTGACTTCGACTTCGGCGTCGTGCAATCTGGGGGGCACGCGACGCTGAAGTTCGCGGGGGAAGTGGACGTCGCGCACGCGCTCGTGGCGGAGCTCGAGGCGCTGTTGACGACGACGCGTCCGAGTTCGAGTTCGAGTCCGACGCCGATCGTCGTCGACCCGCGTAATCCCGGCGCGAGCGAAGCCGTGGCGCTCCTTCGTCGCGGCGCGAAGTGCGAGGTTCTCCCCGTGTGCAAAGTCGCCGGCGCGATGGCCGCGTGCGAGGCGCTGAAGCTCATCACGGAGAGGCACGTCCCCGCGAAGCAGTGGCTCGTGTACGACGCCGCGGAGCTGATGCTCGACGGCGGCGGCGGCGGCGCCGACGGGTCGACAGACCGATCGAAGCCGGCGGCGTCCGTCGGCGAGTTGATCGGCGCGAAGACCGTGGACGCCGCGAACGCGCTGCGCGTCGTCGTCGCCGGGTCCGGCGACGTCGCGAGAGAGATTCGGAGCCACGGCGTGGGCGACGTGACGACGTTGGAGGAACGCGAGGAGGGCGCCGGCGACGTCGGCGGGCGGTGGCGCGAGGACGACGTCCCGCGCGACGCCGACGTCCTCGTGACCGCGCTGGACGACCTGTCCTCGCGCAGGGCGTTCGACGACCTCTCCGTGCGGCGAGGCGTCGCAATGATCGACCCGGGTGCCGATGGGTGCCGTCTGAGTTGCCATGTGGCGATCCCTCACGTCACGGCGCCGTGGTCGCACGGGCCGCGCGACGCCCCGGACTGGGAGCCGCCGTCGTGCGTGCTCGGTAACTTTCCGCACGTGTTCGCGCACTGCGGGAAGTGGGCGAGGGATCGGTACGCGGAAATTTTCGTCGCGCCGTTCCGCGCGGCGAGGGCGTACTTGGACTCGAGCGCCGCCGGAGACGGCTTCGACGACGACGTCGCCGCGGCGGTGGCCACGGAGAGAATGAAGGACCCGAAGGCGAAGCTGACGGAACTGGCGACGATCCGGGACGTGCTCCTCGCGGACGCGCCGAAGACCGTCGGCGACTGCGTGCGGTGGGCGGCGCGTCTGTTCAAACGTCTGTTCGAGGACGGACCGAACGAGATGCTTCGCTCGTTCCCGGTGGATCAGAAAACGGCCGCGGGGGCGCCGTTTTGGAGCGGTACGAAACGCGCCCCGAAACCGATAAAGTACGGCGGGTCCAACTTCCACACCCGGCATTACGCCTCGTTCGTCGTCGCCGCCGCTCGAGCGCGGATGCTCGCGTACGGGCTGAAACCGAAAAAGGAAGGCGACGAGAACGCGGAGACGCTGCGCGAGATGGACGCGATGCGGACGGAGCTGGCGAAGCTGACGCAAGCGCCGGCATCGGCGACCGACGACGCCGCGGGCGCCGCGAATAAGAAACGAAAGCGCGAGGACGACGACGACGACGAGGACGCCGCCGCGCGCGCAGCCTTCGACGCCATCGCCGCTGAGTTGTCGTCGAAACGCGTCCAGATATCGTCGCTGCGCGAGCCCATCGCGGCGTACCTCGCGACGTCCGCCGCGTTCGCGCCTCGCGACCCGATCCACGCGGGTTTCGTCGCCGCCGCGGCGCTGTCCCGCGCGAGGGTGTACTCCATACATCTCGGCAGGTTGGAGGAGTATTACGACGTCGTGTCTGTCGCCGCGGACGCGAAGCCGGGGATGCCCGGGGTGAACGCGCTCCTCGCGGCGCTCGTCGCGGTCGAGACGTACAAGCTCGGGGCGCTGAAAGCGAGGGACGCGGCGAAACCCGCGCCGACGCCGGCGCCGGCGCCGGCGTTTCGTAACACGTACGCGTCTGTCGGCGCGAACGTCCACGTCTCCGCGGCGGCGACCGCGCTGCCCTGCACGACGGTCGCGACGAAGACCGGCACGTTTCGCTGGTCCGTGTGGGACGTGATAGACCTCGGCGAGTGCGGGGTCGCGAAAGGCGCCGGCGACGCGTTGACTTTAAAACGCGTCATCGACGCGTTTAAAGAAAAGTTCGGGCTCGAAGTCGGCGCGGTCTCCATCGGTCCTTCGCTTCTGTACGCGGACTTCATGAACCCGGCGAAGACGAAAGACAAGCTCGAGCGGCCACTCGTGGACGTGTTGACCGAGATCGGCAAGATGCCGCCCGCGGAGGAGGGCGGCGGCGGCGAAGGGGCGGCTGCGGTCGCCGCGGTACAGCTGTCGATCGGCGCGTGCGACGAGAACGACGACGACGTGGAGGGCGTGCCGGACGTCCGCGTGCTCGTGAGAAGGTGAGCGGGCGAGTGTGGGTGGTGGTGTAGCGTGCACGAAGACGCGCGCGCGTACAAGTAGTTTAGTTATTGCGGGCGTTGAAAAGGAGAACGGAGGCACAGACGCGGCGACGTCCACGTTGAGTAAGGTTACGTGTACAGCACGCACGCTGACGACGCGCGCTCACCGCCGCCGCACGTGCTGCAGCACCGCGTTCCTCTCGTACGTCCTCGCCAGACCCACGCCGTCGTCATCCGTCTCTCCCACTTCGCCGATGCCGGCCGCTTGTGAGCCGCCGACGCCGACGCCGCCGCCGCCGACGCCGCCGTCGCCGGCGTCCTCGTCCTGGTCCTCGTCCCAGTCTAGCGGCTTCTCCTCCTCGTCGTCGTCGTCGTGCTTCCACAGGTCCGTGAGGAACTCGCCGTTGAGCCTCCCAGCGCGCTCCTTCGCCGCGGCCGCCGCGGCGGCGAACCCGCCGTGACTCTGCCGCGACGCCGACGCCATCGGATCCGGCACCACGCTCGACGACGCGCCGTTCGACCCGCGGCCGTTCGACCCGATGCCGTTCGACCCGCCGTTCGACCCGCCCGCATCGTACGCCTTCCCCGCGCCGCCGCCGCCGCCGTCGTTCTTAAACGCGTCCATCCTCGCCTTGTCCACCGCGTCGCGCCGCGTCCCGACGCCGTCGCGCCCGTACGTCGACGGCGACACCCTCGCGTCCGTGTACTGGCGCTCGACCCTGAGCACCACGGGGACGACGAGGAGGAAGAACAGGACGATGCATATCACGTGCTTCTTGCTGAGGACGGACACGAGCTCTTCGCCGTTCGGGTACCGCGCGTTCTGCGGCGGGAACCGGTTCCCGGGGAGGCCGAACTTCGGAGACGCCGGCATCGCGGCGGCGGGTGGTTCGCGCGCGCGGTGTAAATGAGCTGACGATGATTCGAATCTGACGATATTTTCTTCACGCGATCTGGACGATCCGCGCGCCACAACGACGACGCCAGGTCGACTGCGCGTTCCGACGAGGGTCCGAGCGACGACGATGCGCGGCGTCATCGCGATCGCCGCGCGTCGCGTCCTCTTCGTCCTCGTCCTCGCCCTCGTCGCGTCCTCCTCGCCGCGCACGCTCGTCGACGCGGCCTCGTCGTCGTCGTCGTCCGCGGCCTCATCGACGACCTCGACGAGAGGCCTGACCGACGCGTCGCCGCTCGCGACGCGCGACGGGATCCCCGACGCGTCACTGTGCGAGCACGGCGACGCGGGCCACCGCCGAGCGACGACGATGGGCGACGCGCACTTGAAGCAGAGGAAGCCGCTCCTCGCGGAGGCGTGCTACCTCGGCGCGCTGCGCTACAAGTCCGACTTCCCGATGGCGCTCTACGGCCTCGGCGAGGCGCACGTCATGGCCGACCGCGACGCGCTCGCCGCGGAGGCGTACGCGCTCGCCATCGACGCGTGGCCGCAGTACGTCGACGCGCGGATCGCGCTCGGGGAGCTTAAAGCGCGCGGCGGCGACGCGATCGCCGCGGAGGCGGCGTTCCGCGGCGCCGTCGCGATCGCGCCGACGGACGCGCTCGCGTGGGAGGCGCTCGGGAAGCATCTGCTGTCGATCGGCGCGCGCGACCGCGCGCACGACGCGTACGAGCGCGCCAGCGCGTCCGTCCCGGGAGGCAGAGAGAACGTCGGATTGCTGTTCGGGCGCGCGCGCGTCGCCGCCGCGAAGAGGGAATGGCGCGCGTGCGTCGAGTCGGCGGCGGCGGCGTCGGCGCGCGCGGGCGGCGCGTTCGCGGACGCGGCGTTTCTGTCGGGCGAGTGCGAGGCGCGTCTCGGGTGCGCCGAGGCGAGCCGCGCGGAGAAGACGGAGGAGGAGATCGCGGATGGCGAGCGGCGCGTCGCGAGCGGGCTGAGGCGGATGAAGGACGCGATCGCGATGGATGATGATGAGCCGGGAGATGGCGAGGAGGCCGAGGCACGGAGGGTAACGTACGCGACGCTGTTGGAAGAGTGCGCGAAGCGCGACGACGCGATCGACGCGGTGAACGACGCGCTGAGGGCGCACCCGGACAGCGAGGCGCTGAGAGCGCTGCGCGCGAGCTTGAACGCGAAGAGGAAGCGGGAAGCCGGCGAGTTGTGATGAGGTGTTGCGATTCGTTCGATACGTCGTTCCAATTTCGCGTCGACGTCCGCCTCGCGTCGTCTCGTCTCGTCTCGTCACTCCCCCCCCCTGAGCGCTTCCTTGACCTCCGCGCTCGCGGTCGCTTCGAACTGCAGCGCCATCATCTGGCTCATCGCGTCCACGCCGCCGGTCCCGGCGCCGCCGTCGCGCTGCTCCACCTCGAACGCCGCGCCCTCCTCCCCCAGCGCGATCGTCGCGCCTTCCGGAACCGCGTAGGACACGCCCGGAAACAGCCGGCTCCCTCCCAAGAACGTCCCCTCGCTCTTCGCGACGGAGGTGACGAAGACGCGCCCTTGTCTCACCTCGAGCTTGGCGTGCTCGACCTCGACGCCGTCGAATCCCGGGACGAGCGCGCTGCCGACGACGACGCCGGGGGCGTGCTCGGAGGATTTTCCCGACACCGTGACTCGGAGGGTCCCGGGCGGCGACGACGACGACGACGACGACGACGCGGCGGCGGAGACGACGACGACGACGACGCGCGCGGCGGCGGCGCGCGGCGCGGCGCGGCGGCGCGACGAGACGCGCGCGCGGAAACCCGCCCACGGGGCGAGACGCGCGCGCGCCGACGACGGCGTCGACATCATCGCGGCGCGGCGCGAGTGACGGACGGGCGCGGCGAGTGATCGTGATCATAAATAAATTAATTAACCAGTGCGCCGCTCCATCCGTCATCACCGACGATCGTATCGATCGTCTCTATCTCTGCGCGCGTACGGCCTATCGTCCCTCGGGCCCCCTCTCCCGCGGTCGCCGCGATCGGGCCCGCCGCGGCCGCGATCCCTCGAGTCGTCCCGCCCTCTCCCGCCGCCCCCCGACGACGCGTGCGAAAACTTGCACCTGTCCCCGAACCGACACTTCCCCGTCTTCTGGAACCCGTGGCAGACGTCCGCGCGGTCGTTACCCCCCCTCCCGCCGCCGCCGTGATTGAGCGACTTGGGCGAATACCGACCGTCCGCGGCGTCCTCGCACAGCCGCATCGCGCGTCGGCGGTTCTTCTATACAAGCGAACGTCGGGGTGGAGTTCAAAGGCGTCAGTAGGAGTTGAAAGGCGTCGAGGGCGGGCGTTGAAAGCGTGGAGTGGGCGGAGAGATGCGCCGGGAAAAGTCCTTAAGGATCGGCGTTCACCACGCGATCGCGGTCGTATGGGGACCAGTGTATAGAACGCACCTCTTCCCCGCCGAAGACGAGCAGTCGCTCGTCGCCTCTCGCGCCGCCCGGGACGTCGTTGACGACGATGAACGTCGACGTCTCGCGCTCGATCGATCGGATGTTCTCGCCCTTGGAGCCCTGCAGCCTGGGCGCCTTGCCGGATGGGATGGGCATGATGGAGACGTCGTCGCGGCCGTCCGGGTCGATTTGCAGGCGGGGGTCGTTCTTCTGTTTTAAGAGCCAGTTGAGGTAGTCCCAGCAGCGTTTTCGCTCGCCGGAGGTTCCCGCCATGACCGCGAGGGGGCCGATGTACTCGAGCATCGCCCCGGAGGCGGCGGCGAGTTTCTTGCGCGTGGATCCCTGGAGGGAGAGAGAGAGAGACGGGGAAAGAAGAGAGAAGAGAGAAGAGTCAGCGAGCGAACGCTTCGAGAAGAGAAATAAATAAAACACGAGACGGGAGTCGAGCGTCGAGCGGAATTGTACGGATAGACAAGGGAGCTTCCACGCCCCGCGACGGCATACTAGCCCGCGAGGGTGAGCCAGAAAACATCCGCAGACCAGATCTCAATGTTCGCCACACGAGAGCTTGAGTGATCGAACGCCGCGGCATTTGTTAAGCGCGGCGGATCTACTCGGTGGGCGCTTCGAAAAAAAAAAAGCGACCGAGCGGAGCGGAGCGAGCGACCGCGGAGGGAGGGAAACGCGACCGACAAACTCCGGACCGGAGCGGCGCGCACCTGAGCGCCGAGCGCGTACGAGATCTCGTCCCTCTCGAACGGAAACACGTCGTACCGAAACCCATCGTTCTCGTCGTCCCCGGGCTGCGACAGCTTCTCCCGCAGCGTCTTCGTCGCCGCGTCGACGAAGGTCCCCGGCACCTTGTGCTCGACGGCGCTCATCACCTTCAACTCCGCGCCCCTGCGCGCCCTCCTCGTCCCCAACACCATCAGCGCGTCCTCCCCGAGCTCCCCCTTCGCGTCTCGCGCGCGCCCGAAGAACATCAGCGTGCCCCACTCCTCTTCCATCATCCTCAACACGGATCCGTTTTTCCCCGTGATGTAAGCCTTGCATCCGTCGTCTGGCACCTCGACGATGGAGAGGTCGTCGCGCGGCTTTCCGTCGCTCGGGAAGTCCACCTCGATCTTCCCGCGGCGCTGCTGCAGCACGAACCCGACGTACTCTCTCGCGCGTCGGCGCTTCGCCTCGCTCTTATCTTTGATGTACAGCGCGTGCGAGGGCGAGGGCGCGGAGTTTGCGCCGGCGTCGCCGCCGTTCGCGTTATTCGCCGCCGCCGCGTCCATCGCCGACGAGTCCAGCTCGAGCTTGACGCCCGCCGCGCGCGCCACCTTCTTCTTCGTGTTGCCGCCCTTGCCGAGGATGAACGCCGCGTCCTCGGGGTCGATCGAGAGAATCTCCACGGTGGGGTCCGCCGCGGCTTCCTCCGCGGTCATCGCGCCGCCGCGTCGTTGATGTTGGGGCGCTTGTCGGCGCTTGTCGGCGTCGTTGTCGTCGACCTGATGATGCGATGATGCGATGAGTCGTCGATCGGCGACGCGCGCGCGTCAGTCGTCGTTCGCGTCGACGAGGTCGTCGGTCGGAAGAGGAGGCCACACGCGGAGAAGAGGGGGAACGGGCGGGGCGCGAGGCCCGAGGAAGGAGTCGATCGATCGCGTCGCCATCGCCGCGCGAACGGAGAATAAATACCCTCGCTCGACGCGACGCGACGCGACGAGTCGAATCGTATCGCGGCGACGACGCGCCGCCGAAAGCGCGGCGCGCGCGACGCGCTCGATTCGAACCGCGCGACGAGACCGCGAGAGGTCGATCGCGAGGTCGTTCTTCGCGAAAACCGAAGACGCTCACGAGCGCTCGAGGACGCCCACCTCGCGCGTGACCGGCGAGCGCTCGCGCGCGGGGCTGCGCCTTCTCGGCGGCGACGGCGACGCGGGGCGACGATCGTCCGAATCGCGCGACGGCGACCGCGCCGCGCGCTCCGTCGCCGCCGCGATCGTCGCGACCTTCTCGTGCTCGTCCAGCGCGTCCTCCTCCATCCCGGCGTCGTCCACCTGCTCGTTGAGGTCGATCATCTCGTCGTCGCTCATGACGGCCGTCGTGCGCGCGCGTCTCCGGCGCGGCGTGCAGTAGTGCGGCATTCACCGCGAGCGGCGGCGAAACGCGCGACAACCAGTGCTGACACGCGTATTTCACCCATCCCTCGGTTTCAACATTTGATCGCGACCCCTTTCAACTGACCGGTGAATGGAATGGCCCTCAAGCGTGAGTGCACTGGCGGTAAGCCTGCGCGTGCACGTCGTCGACACGTGTCGTGTCGACGCGACTCGGCCTCGCGTCGCGTCAGTCCTCCTCGACGCGCCGCGACGCGCGCGGACGCGCGGGCGAGGCGGCCGCCGCCCCGTGCCTCCGCCGAGAGCCGACCGCGTCCGTCCGAGGTCGCCATGGTCGTCCTCGGAGGCATGCGTCTGCGGCTCCTCGACAGCGACGACGACGACGACGACGACGTCGCCGCCCCGTCCACGCCCGAAAACCCGCGGAAACCCTCGGACGCGCTCCCCGCGGAGGCGTTCCTCGCCACGAAGCGCGCGTGGCTCGACATGTACAACAACCGCGTGACCGTCCCCGCGAACTGCCGCGATCCGAAGACGTCGCGTCGCTTGGCGCTCATCCAGCGCCTCCTCCCGGACGAACTCGTCGTCGAGATCTTCGCGCGCGCGGACCCGCGGTCTGTCTCGCGCGCCGCGTGCGCGTGCCGACCGTGGCGCGTCCTCGCGCGCAGCGAGATCGTGTGGCGCGCGGCTTGCCACCGCGCGTGGGCGCCGCGCGAATCGCGCGACGTCACGGCGAGGATCGCGCGCGAGCGCCATCGCGGGTCGTTCCGCCGAATGTTCTTCGACCGCGCGCGCGTGCGCACGGAGGGACTGTACGTCTCCCGGAACACGTACGTCAAGCCCGGGTTCACGGACTTGGAGCACGGCGTGAAGGGCGCGCCCGTGCACCTCGTGACGTACTACCGGTATATCCGCTTCTTCGGGAACGGCGAGTTCATCGCGAAGACGAGCCCAACGAAGGTGGGCGTCGCGCACAAGCAGATGCGGGAGAAGAAAACGGCGCTCGGAGACGACACCGTCGTGCACGGGTTCTACTCGCTCCCGTGTGACGGCGACGAGTCGCGGCTGCACCTCGCGAGCGCGCCGAGGATACGCGCGGACTCGACGTTCACGACGACGCACTACTGGCTCAGGCTTCGAGGGACGCACCCGGGGGCGAGCAACCGGCTGGATTTCGTCAAGCTCGCGTCGGGCGCGTTCCTTCTCATCACGCCGGTCCCCGTACGACCCCGTCGGCGCGGTGAACGCCGTCTCTTAAGGACTTTTGGCGGCGATTCTCTCCGCCCATCACCCCTCAGTTTCGATCCCGACACACCTCGACGCCTTTCAACTCCGCTTCTGACGCACCCCTGAACTCCACCCCGACGTTCGCTCGCGTGGACCCTCGACCCTCAGTGGACGACGACGAGGACGCGCCCGCGCCGACGGAGGAGGCGTGGCGAGAGGTGGACGATCCGTCGCTGGCGTACCGACGCAGCTGCGGGTACGACGCGCGCGCGTACGACGGCACCGCCGCGGTCAGGGAGCTGAGCCGCGGGCTGAACACGCTTGTGTTCGTCCCGTGGGAGGACGCGGTCGATCACGTGCTGAACCTCGGGACGAGAGAGATGGACTTTTACGTCACCGGGTGACGACGACGACGGGAGCGTTTCGTACGAAAAGGTAGTCTCGTCGTTGTGACAACACTGTGCACTACTAGAGAAGAAGATTCTTTGAATCTCCATCCTCTCCTTTTCATCGCGCCGTCGTCGCCGCGTCCGCCGTCGCGCCGTTCGCCGCGTTCGCCGCGTTTGCCGCCGCTCGCCGCGCCTCTTTCTTCGCCGCGCGCTCCGCTCGCTTCGCCGCGACGCGCCCGCCGACGGCTTCCATCGGCCCCGGCGAATACGCCTGGATGTTCTTCTCCTTCTTCGGCGGCTCCTGCTGCCACCGCGCGTTCACGCGCTCGCCGTGCGTCTTCTCGAAGCGCGTCACGAGCTCCGGCGAGAGCTGGTTCGAGCGCATGTCGACCTCGGTCAGCGTCGCGTTGGCGCGCAGCAGAGACTCGACGTGTCGTCCGCCCTCGTCGGAGATTTCGTTCCTCTGCACGTCCAACCCTCGCAGCGTCGAATTCTCCGAGAGCGCCTCCATGAGCTCCCACGCGCCCTCGTCGTAGATCTTGTTGTACCCGACGTTCAGCCGTCTCAGCGCGACGTTCTCCATGAGCATCTCCGCGACGTCCCCGGCGCATCGCGGCGTGAGGTCGTTCCCGCGCGCGTTGAGCACGCGCAACGAATCGTTCTTCTCGAGCGCCTTCATGAGCGCGCTCACGCCCGAGCGTTCGCCGTCCGCGGCGCCCTGGTTGACCGCGACGTCGAGGCTGTACAACCCGCCGCGGCGGTCGTCGTCGTCGTCGTCGTCGTCGTCGTCGTCGTCGTCGTCCGCGGTGGGAGAATACGAAACGTCACCCGTCACACGCGCCGGTTCGTATTCCAGCAGCGGCGCGAGCGCGGCGAACCCCTCCGGTCCCAACACGTTGCACGCCAAGTCGAGATGCCGCAGCGCGTCCATCCACCCCGTCGTCAGCGCCTCCACGAGCGCCTTCGCGCCGACCGCGCCGACGCTGTTGAACCCGAGCTGCAGCACTTTCAGCGCGCACGGCGCGCGCGTCGTCTTGAGCCCGTCCGCGAGCGCGACCGCGCCGGCGTCGCCGAAGCCCGAGTGCGCGAGGTCCAGCCGCGTCAAAGTCGTCGAGCACCTCGCGACCGCGCGTCCAAACGCGCGGCAGCCGAGGACGCCCACCTGGTTGTCGCGCACGTTGACGCGCGCGATCGGGACGCCCGGGCCGAGCGCGTCGCCGAGCGCCGCCGCGCCCGCGTCGCCGATGTGGTTCGAGCCGAGGTCGAGCCATCTGAGCTCGCACAGCGGCGCGTCCGGGTCCTTCTCCCGGGCGTCGTCGTCGCGCTTCCGGTTTTTATTCGTACCCGCGGCGGCGCGCGAGCGATGGTCCCAGTTCACGCTGGCGCGTCGCGCGTACTGCCGCCGCTCCGCGTCCCTCTCGCGCTCGTATCGCGCGACCGCCTCGCCGGCTCTCCGAATCGCGCCCGCGAGCGACATCGCGCCCTCGTCGTGGATGTTCGCCTTGCGCATCGCGAACCGCCGCAACGGCCATCCTCTCCCCGTCTCCTCCATCGCCGCCGCCGCCGCTCGCGCCGCGTCGTCCGAGAGCTTAAGCGACCACGACATGTCGACGCCGCGCACGCGCGCGCCTCGGTCGCACGCCGCCGCCGCCGCCGCGACGCGGAACACGTCCCTCGCGCTCCGCGCGCAGCCGCTGTGAATCTTCAGCCGTCGAACCCACAGCTGCCTCCGAAACTGCGGCGTTGAAAGGTGTCAGTTGAAGTTGAAAGGCGTCGAGGGCGGGGATCGAAAGCGAGGTGTGATGGGCGGAGAGATGCGCCGGGAAAAGTCCTCAAGGAACGGCGTTCACCGCGCCGACGCGGTCGTATGGGGACCAGTGTGGAAATAGAACGCGCCTGCAGCGTCGCCGCGAGGCGCGCCTCCGCGGACCCGGGCGGCTCGCCGCGCGCGTCGATCTTCGCCCCGACGTCGCATTCGAACCTTCGAAGAGACGGGCACGCGTCGAACACGAGCTCGACGTCGCGAACGCTGAATTTGCCCGCGACGTCGCCAAGCCCGTGGCATCGCAACGCGCGCAGGCACGGGCTCTCGCGCGCGACTTCGAGGAGGTCGCCGCGGCGGACGCCGCGGCTGCCGGAGACGTCTAATCGTCGCAGCGCGCCGCACGCGACGCGACGCAACGACGCGAGCGCGCTCGACGTCGCGATCCCGGAGAGGTCGACGTCGCGCCACGCCGCGTCCGCGAGGTGTCCCTTATCGGACGCGCCGGAGCCGCGCCCTAACGGGCCGCGCGGGGAGTCGTCGTCGCGGTCGCGGCTGTCGCGCGAGCCGCCGCCGCGGCTTCCCGGGCACGTCATCGCGTCGCGCTCCGTCTTCCTGCACGCCGCGACGCGCGCGCGTTCGACCGGGGAGAGACGCTCTAAGATGCGACTCGCCGTCGCCGCGTCCAGGTCGCCGATGAAGCGCCCTTCTTCGCGCTCCGAGGCGGCGACGGACGGCGGCGACGCGACGGACGCGATCGCCGCCGCCGCGCGCCGCGCGATGTTCCGCTCGCGCCTCGCGCGGCACAGACGCGCCCACGGTCGTCCGCCGCCCTGCGCCGCGCTCGGGGGCTTCCCGTCGCTGTCCGGCTCCCTGAGCTCCGCGTCGGACCAGTCCGAATCCGACGCCGTGGACGGCGCGTCGTCCTCCTCCTGTGACGACGGATCGTCGTGCTCGTATCCGCCCGCGCCCAGGCTCAGCCTCGACGGACGCTCGCGCCATCCCGCGTCGTCGTTGTCTAAGCGAATCGACGCGAAGTGCGACGACAGGAACGACGCCGTCGGCGGCGAGTTCGTCACCGTCCACTCCGTCGCCGTCATCGTTCCTCCCCGCCGCCGTCGCGCGTCCGCGTCGTCTCTCCCGCGGACGTCCCCTCGCGCGCGCGCTATCAACAATAACGCGCCGATATTTTCTTCGCGCGCCTTCGTTGCGTCGCCAAGTGGCTGAGTCGATCCAGTCACTCGTCGATTCGAGGGTTTATTAACTCGTCGTTTTCCTCGACTCGCGTCGCGCTGTGATTGGTTTACACGCGATACGATGCGGGGGGGTCCGGCTATCGCGGGGGGTCCGCCGCGGAACGTTCAAGACGCGCGCGACGCCGCGCGACGACGTCATTCCTGCACGCAGCGGCATCTTTCGATCCGCACGCCCCCCAACCCAAAACACACGCCGCACCACACCTCGAACGATGGCCTGCCTCCGCGCCCCCGCGCTCCCCGCGCGCGCATCGCCCGCGACGTTCGCGTCCAAGACTCGCAAGTCCCTCGCGGTGCGATCCACCGGCGGCGCTCGCAAGGTGTCGACGAACGCGTTCAGCGACGTGAACGTCGTCATCTCCGGCTGCAACGCGCTCGCGCTCGCGCTCGGAAGGTTCGTCTGGCTCCCGAGCATCCGCGAGAAGACGGCGATGCAAGGGCCGGGGGTGCAAAACGGCGAGTCGCACTTCGCCGCGGGCGACGCGCGCGCGGAGGAGGCTGCCTCCGTGTTCGCGACGAACGATCCCGCCGGGTTCACGATCGTGGATCTCCTCATGTGGGGGTCCATCGGTCACGTGGTCGGGTACTCCGCGCTCGCGTCCCAGTCCTTCGTCGACGTCTTCGGGAAGTGAGCGACGACGACGCGACGGATGGCGGACGCGTTCGTTGTTCGTGGAAAGATTCAAGTTCACGTCGAGAGATGACTAGAGTGACGATTAGGTCCGGAGGAGAGACGAGGAGAGAGAGAGAGAGAGAAGCCGACGAACTACTTGAGCAATTCGATGTCACCACCACTAACGTGTACTACTCGCGCGTCCATCACCTGTCCATCTCGTCCCCGTACGCGGTCCTTCGCACGCCGCGGCGAGGGACGCCCGCGGGGTCACGACGCGAGCGCGTCTCGTCGAGCGCGTCTCGAGCGCTACCGCTCCTCGCGAACGCGCCCTCTCCCCTTTCGCCGTCCACGGCGCGTCGACTCGCCGCGATTCGCGCGCGATGCTCCAAACGCGTCTGAAGCTTCCTCCGCTCGATGTCCTCTCTCGCGCGGCTCGCGCTGTTCCCGACGCCCCTGTACTTGGCGCGCTTCTCCGCCGCTCGACGCGCCGCGTCCTCTGACGCCGCGTCGCTCTCGAGCCCCCACGCGTCGACGCCGCGGGACCCGCCGAAGACGCCCCCGAGCGCGCGAAACGGCGCTGCTGAGGTGGAAGATGAACCGTCGCGGTCGTCGCCGCCGCGGAAACGCGCGGGCGGTACAGCGCGCTCCGGGACGCGCCTCGCGGACGCGGACGCGCCGGAGAATGACAGCTGTGCGTCGTCTTCGTGGTCGTCGTTCGCCGCGGACGTCTTCGCCGCCGCCGCCGCCGCCGCCTCCCGCGTCCTCCTCCCTCCTCCCGCGCGCGATCCCGCCCCCCCCCCCATCGCGAACGGCCACGTCATCAAGCCACCCCCGTTGTGCGCGCCGCCGTTCACGTACGGATCCAGCGGCGCGAGCTCCTTCACGATGGCGCGCACCTCGCCGCCGAGGTTCGAGTCCTCCTCGCCGACGACGCACAGCTGTCGCACGATCTCGCGGGTTTGGATCTTGACCACCGCGAACGCGGCGTACGCGCCAACGGCGGCCGCGCCGCCGACGCGCGACGCCGCGACGAACACGCTCGTTGGGCTTTTCCTCTTCGCGAGAGACGGCTCGACGAATCGTTGCCAGCACGACGCGAACGCGCTGTAGCTGAGGTACCCCGCGACGATGGCTCGAAGCTGCGTCGCGGACTGCCACGTCCGCACGATGGCGCGCTCCTCCTCCGTGAGCGCGTAGTTCCTCTCGCGCATGACGCGCAGGAGTCTGCCGATGACCTCGCCCGAGTTCGCGCGGTCGGGCGGGGACGTGGACCACTCCGGCGGTCGCTCGGAGGAGGACGACGACGACGACGACGTCGACGTCGAAGTCGTCCAAGTCGAAGTCCTCGTCGTCGTCGTCGTCGTCGTCGTCCTCGGCGCGTCCTCCGACGTCATCGCCTCGCCCGCGGGCGCCGCGTAGTCCATCTCGCGCGGGAGGAGGAGGAGGAGGAGGACGGCGGAGACGGCGGCGCGCGATGCGACGCCGCGGCCGTCGCGCGGGCGATGGTCGCGCTCTGGCGGGGACGCCCGCCCGTCGCGGCGCGTTGTGGCCCTCGTCCGCGTCATTTCGCGCGGCGGTGTTAAAATCGTCCACGCGTGTGAAGAGTCGTTCGGTTTTTTTAAGGTCGTCTGACGGAGAAGGGGTCATAGATCTGAGCTCGCGCGCTCACATCATCGCGCGCGAGCCGACGCGCACGTCCTCGCGTCCGCGGATCCATCGCGCGCGACCTCGTGACGTGATCCCCGCGCGGTGATCGCGAGATGGGCGCGAACCAGAGCGGCCTCGGCGGTCCGGGCGGCCCCGGGGATGGGAAGAAGGAGAAGAAAGAGAAGAAGAAGTGGGTGCCCCCCGCGCCTCCGATGCGCGTCGGGAAGAAGCTCAAGAAGAAAGGGATCGACGGCGCGAACCGTCTCCCGAACGTCTTCCCCGCGTCGAAGTGCTTGCTGAGGAAGCTCAAGCTCGAGCGCGTGAAGGATTGGCTTCTCATGGAGGAAGAGTTCGTCGCCAACCAGGAGCGCGTGAAGCCGCACGAGGAGCGCGCGGAGGAGGAGCGATCGAAAGTGGAAGAGCTCCGCGGGTCGCCGATGAACGTCGGGACTCTCGAGGAGATCATCGACGACAAGTGCGTTCGCTCTCTCTCCTCGCTCTCTCTCGCCCCCGACGCGACGATCGCGCGCGCGCCCCGTCGCGTCCCTCGCTCTCCCGTTCGAAAAAAAGAATGAAAGCGAACCAGATCTGGCCCGGCGCCGTCTGACCCCCCCTCCCTCCCCCTCCCCTCGTCGCGTCGACAGCCACGCGATCGTGTCCTCCTCCGTGGGCCCCGAGTACTACGTCAACATCATGTCGTTCGTGGACAAGTCCCAGCTCGAACCCGGGTGCGCGGTGCTGCTCCACAACAAGTCGTTGTCCGTCGTCGGCACGCTCGCGGACGACGTGGACCCGATGGTGTCGGTGATGAAGGTGGACAAGGCTCCGTTGGAGTCGTACGCGGACGTCGGCGGGTTGGAGGATCAGATCCAGGAGATCAAGGAGGCGGTGGAGCTGCCGCTGACGCACCCGGAGCTGTACGAAGACATCGGGATCAAGCCGCCGAAGGGGGTCATCTTATACGGCGAGCCCGGCACGGGAAAGACGCTCCTCGCAAAGGCGGTTGCGAACAGCACGTCGGCGAGCTTCCTCCGCGTCGTCGGGTCTGAGCTCATCCAGAAATACCTCGGCGACGGTCCGAAGCTCGTGCGCGAGCTCTTCAGGGTCGCGGAGGACATGAGCCCCTCGATCGTGTTCATCGACGAGATCGACGCGATCGGGACGAAGCGGTACGACAGCAACAGCGGCGGGGAGAAGGAGATTCAGCGCACGATGATCGAGCTCCTGACGCAGATGGACGGGTTCGAGGCGAGAGGCGAGGTGAAGGTCATCATGGCGACGAACAGGATCGAGACGCTGGACCCGGCGTTGCTTCGACCCGGACGCATCGACCGAAAGATCGAGTTCCCGCTGCCGGATATCAAGACGAAGCGGCACATCTTCGGCATTCACACCGGAAGGATGAACCTCGCGGAGGACGTCAAGCTCGAGGAGTTTGTGATGGCGAAGGACGAGCTCTCGGGCGCGGATATCAAAGCGTTGTGCACCGAGGCGGGGTTGCTCGCGCTGAGAGAGCGGCGGATGCAGGTGACGCACTCGGACTTCAGCAAGGCGAAGGAGAAGGTGCTGTACAAGAAGAAGGAGGGCGTCCCGGAGGGGATGTTCATGTGACGGACGCGGCGCGGCGGGGGCGTCGGGAGGGGCGGGCGCCGTCTTTCGTTGATGAGACTCGTCCGAGCGGGAGCGTCAATTTTTTCCTCCTCGTAGAATATTGTTGAAACGACGCGGCGAACGCGCGATCGATGCTTCGCGTTCGTTGTACACGTACCGCACGCGCGCTCCCTAAAAAATCAATCAATCAATCAATTCAACTCGAACAGCTCGTTGAACGACGCGTCGCACGACAGCTCCTCTATCCCGACGTAATCTAGTATCCCCTCCACCGCTTCCTCTTTGACGGCTCTCACCGCCGCCGTCGCGAGCGCGCCCGCGGTGACCGGCCGATCCACGAACGGCAGCCCGATCGCGTTCCCGATCACGAACGCCGCGACCGCGGGAAAGGACGCGGGCTTGTCGAAGGCGTACACGAGCGACGGCCGCAGGATCGTCGCGCGCAGCGCCCCCGCTGCGGTCATGGCGCCGAGCTTCTCCTCAACCGCGCGCTTCGCGACGAGGTACTCCTCTAGCCACTCCACGGGCGCGCGGAAGTCCCACTTCGCCTCCGCGGCGGACACGAACACGAACGGCGGCGACCTCTTTGACGTTGTATAAATGCGGGTGCCGTCGGACGCCGAAGTAAAGTCTACGGGCTTCACGAGCTCCGCGACGGCGTCGGCGGCGTGAAACGCGGATTTGCGCGTGACGTCGTCGTACGTCGACCCCGCCGACGGCACGGAGCCGCTCCCCGACGCGTACGCGTTCAGGTCCGACGCGAGGAGCATCCCGACCGCGTGCACGCACCCGACGAAGCCGCCCTCCGCGAGGACGTCGCGCACCGTGGACGGGAGCGTGACGTCGCCGACGCGCCAGTCCACGCGTCCGTCGAGCGACGAGGTTGGACCGCGCGCGGACGCGGACGGCGCGCCGCGCCGGGAGATGGAGACGACGGAGTACCCGCCCTCGAGCGCGCGCTCGATGACGTTCCCGCCCACGAACCCGGTTCCGCCGAGGACGAGGAGTTTGTTTCCGTTGTCGGGCGCCGCCTCGGAGGAGGAGGAGGAGGAGGACGCGGCGCGCGCGGGGATCCGAGTCAGATTACGCTGAACGTCCCGGACGACGCGACGACCGTCGAAGCGCCGGGCGACGCCCGCGCGGGGCGATCGCGCGCGCGTCGCCGCCGCGGTCGCGCGCGACGACATCATCGACGAGGAGCGAGCGGTCGCGCGACGCGGGCGTGGACGACGCGACGCGGGTGTGACGCGCGGAGGCGAGAAGCCGCGGCGGCGTTCTTTTAGAAGAGCGTTCGTCGCGTTCCCGCGAGATCCGCCAGCGCCAGGCCGGTCGCGCGTTCAGCAATGCTTCTTTCGAAGCGGCGTCGGCGCGAGTGCTCGCGTCACACCCGTCGCGCGCGATCGCGGTCGCGTCGCCCTCGAAGTCGCGATGGCGTCTCCCTCCAAGGCGGAGCTGCTCCGAAAGGAGCTCGCGTCGCTCAAGAGCGAGCGCGACCAGGTGCGAGCGCGCGTCGTCGCGCGATCGATCGATCGAAATTCTTCATCGATCATCGCTCCCCCGTCGCGCGTTTCCCGTCGCGCCGCGTCGGTCGTCAGATCCGCCGGTCCGATCGCCCCCCGCGTCCCCCTCCCATCGATCCTGACGTCCCTCCCCGCCGCGTCTCCCGCCCGCGCCGCGAACGCCATCAGATCCAAACGCGCATACACAGGATGAGCGGCGGCCGAGGTCCGGCGTCGACGCGCGCGCGCGATGGCCTCGGCGGCGGACGCGGCGGAGGAGGACGAGGATCCGGCGCGGGCGCAACGTCCGATCGCTTCAAGCGCCGACGAACGACGCCGAACGCGAGGGACGGCGACGCCGCGCCCGCGCCACCCGGCGCGTACGCGCCCGCGCCGCCGTTCAACGACGCGGATCCCGCGGTGGACTCGCGCCCGGACGCGACGGACGCGGACGAGCGCGTGAAGACGCGCGGGCGGCGCATGTTCGCGGGCCTCCTCGGCACGCTCCGACGACACCGAGAAGACGAGAAGAAGCTGAGCGCGGTGACCGCGCAGAGGAACGCGATCGTGGAGCGCGTGGAGACGCGCGCGAGGGAGGAGTCCGAGGCGCTCATCAGGCGACAGCGGGGGGGGCACGTGAAGAGGAGGGCGACGGCGGAGGCGGCCAGGGCGAGGCTCGACGTCGAGATGTGCGAGAGAGAGCTCGAGCTGGTGCCGCTGACGGCGGCGGAGCGCGAGGAGAAACTCGAGGGCGGCGCGCTGCGGACGGTCGCGGAGAATAAGCCCAGGGTGTATTACAAGCCAAAGAAGCACACGGAGGCGACGGAGAGAAAGGCGAACGAGGCGGTGGAGGAGGTGCGAGCGTGGAAAGAGAAGCAAGAGAAGTACCTGAGGGAAAAGATCGAGAGGATCAAAGAGGCGCTGGCGCACAAAGAGGCGATGATCGAAGAGTACGCGGCGTACGACGACGACGACGAGGAGGAGGAGGAGGGCGACGCCATGGACGACGCCGTGGACGACGCCGTGGACCGCGGCGGCGACGGCGAGGAGGAGGAGGAGGAAGAGGGCGAGGTTGGGCGGAACGCGAACGACGCGGCGTCCAGACGTCGCGCGCGAGGCGGGAAGGAGGCGGAGACGACGACGCGCGAGGACGACGACGAGGAAATGGGTGAGATCGAGGAGGCCGCGGACCCGGAGGGGCTCGAGGAGGTTCTCGGGAAGTGATGCGCGCGCGTCGTGTGACGAGGTCGAATGCGCTATGCGCTTCTATTCTTACAGGTAATAAAACCGACCGTCGTAAACCTCCCTCTGACGACGACGCGGAGACTCGTCACCCTTTCACGAGGCGCAGGATGTCTCTGTGGTGGTCGCCCAAATCGTCAATCCCCCCGCCCGCGACGCCGTTCCCGCCGCCGCTCGCGCCGCCGCTCGCGCGTTCGCCCATCCCCACCGCGGACAGCGCGACCGGGGCGGTCTCGCCCGCGGCCGGCGCGGACGCGGACGCGGAGGCGCCCGCGGCAGCGGCGTCGCCGTCGCGGTCGGCTTTTTCATCCCGGATCGACGCTCCCGGCTTGGGGCGCCAGTCCAGAACGAACCCTACGTGATTCTCCTTTAAATACAGCAGCACTCTGGACGGGACGTCCGCGTCGTGCAACGCCCAGTGGAACTCCGCGGACTCGAACCACGGCACGGTGACGTCCGCGCAGCCCGCGATCAAAAACGTGGGAGGGAACCTCCCCGGAGGAGTCTCGATGCGTTCCGCCGTCGTCGCATTCGCCGTCGCCGTCGCCGACGACGACGATCGCGCCATCCCCGCCATCGCCGCGGGACCGTCCCCGGCGAGGTCCCCGATCGGCGGTCCCGGGACGACCCTGACCAGAGGCTCTCTCTCTTTCTCGGCGCGCGTCGCGTCTTTGTACGCGCGCTCCGCGGCGTTTGCGGCGGCGGCGGCGGCGGCGGCGGCTCTCTCCCGGTACTTCTTCGCCGCGCTCTCCGTCGCCTTATCCCGCCCCGCGATGATGGTCTCCACGTCCAGGTAGTCGTCGTCGTTCAGAACCGCCATCGCCGCCCACGGCGTCTCCTCCTTCGCCTTCTCCTCCTCCTTCTCTTTCTGTTTCTGTTTCTGTTTCGCGTGGGAGGCGGTCTGAGGGCCGTTCTATACAAGCGAATGTCGGGGTGGAGTTCAAAGGCGTCAGTTGGAGTTGAAAGGCGTCGCAGTCGGGGATTGAAAGCGAGGGCTGGGCGGAGAGACACGACGTGAAAAGTCCTTAAGGAACGGCGTTCACCTCGCCGACGCGGTCGTATGGGGACCAGCGTATAGAACGCGCCTGAGGGTCTTCTACGTCGTACGCGTACTCCCCGCCGACGGCGCCGCGGTTCCCGCGCACGACCCTCACGGGCGAGCACTGCGGAAACTTCTCGCGCCCGCCCATCGCGCGCCCCATCGTCGACAGCAGCGCGACCCCGCGGCTGTCCTCGTACTCGTAGTGCCTCCCCACGTCGTAGACGCCGCAGAGGCCTAAGGGCCATTCCATACGAGCGAACGTCGGGGTGGAGTTGAAAGGCGTCAGATGGAGGAGTTGAAAGGCGCCGAGGGCGGGTATTGAACGCGAGGGGTGGGCGAAGAGAAACGCCAGGAAAAGTCCTTAAGGAACGGCGTTCACCACGCCAACGCGGTCGTATGGGGACCAGTGTATAGAACGCACCTAAAAATTGTTTCGGCATGCGCCTCGCGGCGGGGTCGTCCGCCGACGCGCCGCCGCCGACGTCGTCGCTCACGACCCCGCACCGATGCAGAAGCGCCATGGAACACACGTGCGCGCCCGCGCTGTGCCCGATGAGCGACACGCGCGCGTCGTCGCCGCCGAATCCGCGCGCGTTCTCCAGAGTGAAGCCCACCGCGTCGGAGACTTCGCGCCACATCTGTAACGAACAGTTCACCGGTCAGTTGAAAGGGGGAGCGATGAAATGGTGGCGCCGGGCGGTTGGTGGGAGCATGCGCGCGGATACGGAGGTGATGCCGCGCGCGTGTCGGGAACAGGGTGTAGGGTGCGAGCGACCGTATGACGCCCGGCGCTGCGAGTCTCGAGGCCATGGGGGCGAAGTGCCACTTCTCGCCGACGGCCCAGACCCCGCCGTGGACGAACAGCGCGACGGGGAACGCGCTCGAGTCGCTGTCGCCGCCGCCGCCGCCGCCGCCGCCGCCTCGTCCTCCGACCGCGTCCGCGATCGCGCCCGCGCCGTTCGCGAGCGACGCGCCGTCGGGGAGGTAGAC